AAATCAAGAGTCAGATGTTTAACCGACTGAGCCACCCAGGCGCCCCTAAATATTAACAAACTCAAGTGGCTTTTCCACTGTGTCTGGGTGGCTCAGTCAGTTAAGCACCTGACTCTTGATCTCAGCTTAGCTCTTGATCTCAGGATTGTGAGTTCAAGTCCCACATTGGGCTCCACGTAGAGCCTACTTAAAAAAAAAAATCACATATGAACTCATTCGATCCTCGTAATATGCCCTGTGAGTTACTTCCTATCATCATCCCAATTTCACAGTTAAAAAACTGAGGGAGGGGCACCTGGGTGGCTTAGTCGGTTAAGCGTCGGTCCGTCAGACTTGTGACTTCAGCTCAGGTCACAATCTCACAGTTTGTGGGAATCGATTCTCTCTCTCTTCTTTCTATGCTTCTTCCCTGCTCGCATTTTCTCTCTCTCTCTCAAAATAAATAAATAAACGTAAAACAACAACGACAACCAAGGGACACAGAGAGATTTGAACCCAGGAAGTCTGGCTTCTGAGTTTATGCTCTTCATGAAAATGGTCTCTCAGAGTGTGCCGCCTGATAGAACTTTCTATAGTGGTAGATATGTTCTGTCTCTGCTCTCTCCAGTAGGCTAGCCACCAGTCACTTGAGCTGTGGCTAATGCAGCGGAGGAACCGAATTTTTATTTCATTTTAATCAACTTAAATTTAAACACACCTGGGTTTGATTCTCTGCCCTCACCTCCCCCTGGGAGCCTCAATTTCTTCATCTGTATAAGGGGTTTATATAACAATAGGACCAGCCTGCGTATTCAACAAATATTTGAGTACCTATGGTGTTCTTGGGGCTGCGGTTACAACATGGGACATAACAGACACAAATCCAAGGTCAGGACAGCAGGAGGTGGAATGCAGTGCCATGACCAGACTCCTTTGAATCTCAGCCTCTCTTTTCCTGGAATTGCAGAAAGGCTGCTCTGCCTAGCACTTCGTGATGTCATAGCATGCTCTGGGTTCTGATTGGCTGAGGGTCTGGCACAAAGCTGGGTTGGCAGATTTTTTCCCAAACATTCTTTCTTTTTCTTTCTTTGATATTAAAACACCCTATTTAGCTGGAGCCAAGACAGCGCAACATTAAAAGTTGTTTTTCTACCTTCTCTGGCAGCTAGGGGCGGTCATATCACCAAATTCTGGCCAATGAGATAAGAACAGATGGATTGTATAGCAGTTTTTGGAAAATAACCCTTATAAGTCAGCTGTGTGGGACTTTTGGCCTTTTCTGTTTACCTTCTTCCAACCAGATGCATTCTAAGGATGATGGAGAGGAAAGCCAGGAGGCTCCCGGTGGCTTGACTACACTCAGACCTTTTTTTTTTTTTAATTTTTTAATGTTTTATTTATTTCTAGGAGAGAGATAGAGACAGCGTGAGCAGGGGAGGGTCAGAGAGAGAGGGAGTCACAGACTGAAACAGGCTCCAGGCTCTGAGCTGGCAGCCAGCACAGAGCCCGACGCGGGGCTCGAACCCACGAACCGTGAGATATGACCTAAGCGAAAGTCGGACGCTTAACCGACTAAGCCACCCAGGCGCCCCAGACCTTTTTTTTTTTCTAATTAGCTTCACACCCCTCGTGGTGCCCAGTGTGAGGCTTGAACTCACAACCCTGAGATCAAGACCTGAGCTGAGATCAAGAGTCGACCGTTTAACCAACCAAGCCACCCAGGGGCCCAAATATTTGTTTTATTTGTTATTTCTTTAAGTGAGCTCTATGCACAACATGGGGCTTGAACTCATGACCCTGAGATCAAGAGTCACATGCTCCACTGACTGAAATAGCCAGGCACCCCCCCCCACCACCTCTTTTTTTAAGATTTTATTTTTCAGTAACCTCTACACCCAGTGTGGGACTCCAACTTATAACCCTGAGGTCAAGGGTCACATGCTCCACTGATTGACCCTCAGACCTCTTTTATGCAAGTGAGAAGTAGTTTCTGTCTTGCTTAACCCACTGTTACTTTGGGGTTTACTCTGACTCCTAATAATACAAGATGTTTGAGGCACCACTTCAGTTGCAGCTGGGCTGCAAGGTATAGACCATTTTTGTTTTGTTTGTGTGTTTGTTTTTAAATAATTGTTTATTTTGAGAGAGAGAATGTGGTGTGTGAGTGGAGGGAGGTGGAGGGAGAGAAAATCCCAAGCAGGCTCTGCACTGACAGCGTGGAGCCCAATGCAGGGCTCAATCCCACAAACCATGAGATCATGATCTGAGCCAAAATCAAGAGTCAGATGTTTAACCGACTGAGCCACCCAGGTGTCCCTGGGTTTTTTGTTTTGTTTTGTTTTTATTTTCCAATTTTTCTTCAAATTCCAGTTAACACATAGTGTAATGTTGGTTTCAGGAAAGTTAGACCATCTTTTTTTTTTTAATTTTTAATGTTTTATTTATTTCTGAGAGAGAGAGTGAGAGACAGCGTGAGCAGGGGAGGGTCAGAGAGAGAGGGAGATACAGAATCCGAAACAGGCTCCAGGCTCAGAGCTGTCAGCACAGAGCCCAACACAGGGCTCAAACCCACGAACCTGATCATGACCTGAGCCGAAGCCGGACGCTTAACTGACTGAGCCACCCAGGCGCCCCTGGAGTTTCTTTCAAATCACAGAATCTACTCAAACACAGTGTTTGTTTATTTTCTTTTTATTGTTTGTTTGTTTACTGTTATTTGAGAGAGAAAGAGAGAGCCCATGAGTGGAGGAAAGAGGCTGAATCTTTAAATATATTTTTAAATACGTAATGTAGATATACGCCCCCAATTAAAGATTAATTGGAAGGAGCTACTATTTCATTAGATTCCACAGGAAAGTTCTCTCTGATGCTGGGAAATGGAAGCAGAGCCACACAGTGGAAAATTCCAGTCCTCACCCATTTCCAGTTGTGGCAGGCGGAACATCGGGCCCCAACATGTCCTCACTCTCATCCTTGGAAGGATCCAACATCCAGTGAACATGTTCGAGCCCCACGTTGGGCTCTGTGCTGACAGCTCAGAGCCCGGAGCCCGCTTCGGATTCTGTGTCTCCCTCGCTCTCTGCCCCTCCTCCGCTCACACGCCGTCTCTCTCTCTCAAATAAATAAATACATACACACATAAAATAAGAACATTTAAAAATTAATAAAAATGGGGGAGGAGGGAAAAAATTTAATAAAAAAAATAATTAAAGCGCAGAACCTTTCCCAGCTGGGGGAGAAAAAGATGTGAGGACAAACAGGCAGGAGAAATTTGAAGTGGGAAGGGGACCCGGCCGGCCATCAGTGTCTTTGGAGCTGGAGGAAGGGACCAGGAGCCGTGAGCAAGTGGCCTCTATGAGCTGGGGATGAAAAGGAAACTTTCTCCCCCAGAGGCTGCAGCCTGGTATTTTACTTGGTAAACGGCACGCCAGGCTTTTGACCCCTAGAACTGCGAGACAATAAATGTAGATTGTTTCAGCGGCTGAGTTTGTGGAATTGTGTTACCACAGCAATAGAAAACGAGCACACTGTATCTTCTCTCTTTCCAGGCACGCAAGAGATTTCTCCTTCCCCACGTTTGTGCTGTCGGGTGAAGCCATGTGAGTAATCCTGACCAATGAACTATGAAATGGAACAGCCGGAGTCGTTCCTGAGCCAAATTCTTGATTTCTTTTTTTTTTTTTAATGTTTTATTTATTTCTAGGAGAGAGAGAGAGACAGCGTGAGCAGGGGAGTGTCAGAGAGAGAAGGAGACACAGACTCCGAAATAGGTTCCAGGCTCTGAGCTGGCAGTCAGCACAGAGCCTGACGCGGGGCTCGAACCCACGAACCGCGAGATCATGACCTAAGCGAAAGTCAGACGCTTAACCGACTAAGCCACCCAGGCGCCCCTCAAATTCTTGATTTCTTGCGTGGGACCATTCAGCCCTCTCTCGTTGGGAGCCATTTTCTGAACTCACTAAGTTGAGAAAACTTGTGAGGTTAAGGCAAGTTTGCACCCCACTCAAGGATCCACCCCACTCAACTATTTCTGCATGAGCACCGACCCCCAAGGTACCGTGTTGATTGGTATCGGGAGTGGCTTGTCCCCTTATTCTGGCCCTGGTATGATGATCGCACCTTGTGAAGGAACTTATTGTGGGAACTTCTTTTGATAATGGGAACAGACATCGTGTCTCTGGCAGGCTGTTTTCCTCCATACTTTCCCTTGAGCTACGAACAGGCTAATGACCCTTACTCAGAAAAGATTGACCTTTACGTGTATAATTCTGTTTCTACCATTGTGTTAGTCCAAGAGGTTCATACAGCTCAAGTCAACTAACCAAAAATGTTTCTCATGCCCTAGCTATTCAAGAAATCATAGACAAAAAGCTAAACACAAAGGTAAATGCATTCGAAGAGGCTATTCTATGTATTGGAAATGAGCTAAACTCTTTAAAGGTACAGTTGGCTCTCTGGTACCGTAAGGAATATAACTGGACTGGGGCGCCTGGGTGGCTCAGTTGGTTAAGCGTCCGGTTTCGGCTCAGGTCATGATCTCACGGTTCGTGGGTTCGAGCCCCGCGTCGGGCTCTGTGCTGACTGCCAGCTCGGAGCCTGGAGCCTGTTTCAGATTCTGTATCTCCCTCTGTCTCTGACCCTCCCCTGCTCACGCCGTCTCTCTCTGTCTCTCAGAAATAAATAAAACGTTATATTTTAAAAAAAAGGAATATAACTGGACAATCAAGTCTTGCCAGGGGACAAAGAGCCTAACTTAGAGAGAAGAAGGAACAGATCAGGCCAGAACATAAGTTACCACATACACCTTTGCTAACTGGTGATGTAGAGCAGCCCCTTCCCTAAGGCCTACATTCCACAAACACCTTCCCTTACACTGGCAGCTGTGACGAGGATGGATTAGCGTACCTACAACTTAGCCTATGACTTAATCTTAGCGTTATTAAAATGTGTATGTTGTCCTGCTTTTCCTAAGAACACCCTGTTATTTTCTTGGTTACTCAACCTCACTATAATTGGGGTAGTTCTGCAAGAATCCTTCTGTAAAACCCATTTCTGTACACTTTCCAAAGCGTCTTATCACAAAGAACTATCCACTGTAAAAATTCCATTTTCTGATGCCATGTTATTGTTTGACCTCTAAATAAAGACACCAAAATCGACAGGGCAGAGATGCCTGCCTGGTGATCAGAAAGAATCGCAGAGCTCTCTCTCTCTCTCACCAACACCGTCCATTCTTCAGGGACCCCTGGACCGGCTCAAGTGGTTCTCCAGCACTCTCTCTCCCTGTTGCAGTGATCAAAGTTGCCATGGGTTGCGGTTGGTGCAGTGATAATATGGTAGATGACTCTCACCCTGAGTCCATGAATGACTCTGTGGAAAATGATCGCTTGCTGACTTGCATGGGACACATACATGACCAAGAAATCAACTTTCGTTGTATCATGCCAACAGGGTTAGCCCTGCTTGATTAATGGAAGGTCTCAATGAAGTAGACGCACTAGCTTGCTGTTATATGAGGAAGTGCATCCTAGGAAGAGAGAACAGAAAGTGCAAAGACCCTGGGGCAAGTGTGCTTGATTTTCTTTTAAAACGAATTTTATTCATTCATTCATTCATTCATTTATGAGAGAGAGAGGACACAAGTGAGCAAGGGCAGAGAGAAAGAGAGAGGGAGAGAGAGAGGGAGAGAGGGAGGGAGAGAGAGAGAGAGAGAGAGAGAAAAGCAGGGCTCACCCCAACTAGGGCTCAAGCTCGCCTGAAGCAGGGCTCAGGGCCACCTGATGTGGGACTCAAACTCATGAACTGTGAGATCATGACCTGAGCCAAAGTCAGTCGCTTAACTGACTGAGCCCCCCAGGTGCCCAAGTGTGCTTGATTTTTAAAGGAACAGGAAGGAAGTCAGTGTGACATGAAGTCAGTTATGTGGTAGGAGTACATCATGTAGGGTCCTGTAGGGGAAGGCAAGGACTTCTTTTTTTTTTTAATGTTTTTTATTTATTTCTGAGAGAGAGAGAGAGAGAGCATGAACAGGGGAGGGTTAGAGAGAGAGACACACACAATGTGAAGCAGGCTCCAGGCTCTGAGCTGTCAGCACAGAGCCCGACATAGGGCTCGAACCTACAAACCGTGAAATCATGACCTGAGCCAACGGAGCTTAACCAACGGAGCCACACAGGCGCCCCAAGGCAAGGACTTTAGATTTTATTCTGAAAGAGATGGGAAGCCATTCAAGAGTTTTAGCATGATAATATCATATCTGACTTGGGCGTGGTTTTTTAAATATCTATTTTTATTTTGAGAAAGAGTATGCCTACGTAAGCGAGGGGATGGGGGAGAGAGAAAGAGAGAGAGAAAGGAGATTGGGAATCCCAGGCAGGCTCTGTGCTGTCAACGGAGAGCCCTATGTGAGACTCGATCTCATGAACTGTGAGATCATGACCTGAGCCGAAATCAAGAGTCAGACAACCAACCGAGCCACCCAGGTGACCCTGACTTGGGTTTTAAAGCCACCATCGTAGTTCTGTATTGAGAAACTCTAAGTAGGGGGGAGAGGGAAGACCAGTATGGACACTACTGTAATAACCCAAGGAACAATGGTGATGGCATAGACCACGTGGTGGCAGTGGACGTGGTACAGAGGGTTGACTCATGAACATATGTAGTAGGTGGGGTGTATAGGATTTGCAGATGGACAGGACATGAGGGTGGAGTGTGGGGGCAAATCCCTGACTAAACTGGCTTCAAGAGGGAACGGAAAAAGACAAGATAAGGAATATAGTTTTGCTGGAACAGAAAACTCTTAGAAAATCCCTTAGGGGCACCCGGGTGGCTCAGTCGGTTAAGCGACTGACCCTTGGTTTAGGCTCAGGCTATGATCTCACAGTTCGTGAGTTCCGAACCCACGTCTGGCTCCGCAGTGTGGAGCCTGCTTGGGATTCTCTCCCTCTCTCTGTCTCTTCCCCACTTGCTCTGTCTCTCTTGAGATAAACAAATAGACTTAAAAAAATAATAAAGTCCCTTAAAGACTCCCAACTCCCCACCCTGGGCCCAACCGGAAGCCAAGACAAGTTTCCCAGGTATAGGACATTATTGGTGGCTTGGGGGTTAAACAGTCACCTCCTGGAGACTATTTCCTTCCTTTTTGTTGGCTGGAGGGCCCAGTGTCTCGTCCTAGTAGCCTATGACGTCACGGCCCATCCTGAGTCTCCACAGGCTGAGAGGCCTTCTTTCCTCTCAGGGAAGGAACAGGGTTGCTCTGTAGGCCCAGTGGACAGTAAGTCACAACCTCGGTGACTCACCCGCAAGGATCACCCAAATTTGAAATTGTTGTTGACCGTGGCTGCAGGGGGCAGAGGTCAGGTGGCAAAGAAAGTCCTAGGCTATGACAGCCTTCCATTCCACAGTACCTACTGCTTCTTGCTTTTTTTTTTTTTTTTTTTCAGCTCCACCCCTGTGGCCCGTAGGGACTCAACTGTCGGGTGGGAACAGAGTTCGGCCTAGCACCAAGTGATGCCCACACCACTCGGTGGCTCCCAACTGGCTATTCTCTCCGGAAAGGGTTCAGGCTGCACTCCAAGACCAGATGAACCTCAGTCAGAACCCTCCTCGGATATTCATTCCAAGTCCCTCTAGTCCTTTCTCAGAGACTATCCCAGGGGCCATCGGGGAACACAATGTTCCTCACGGTGGAACTTTCTGGAAATCCGGCACTGCCGGCCTTTCCTCCGGCGCATCTCCCACCTTTTCAATCCACCCTCCCTCCCACTGGCTTCTGGCCAATCGTCAGGCAACACGGATCTGACCAGCACATTGTGATGTCTTTCCAGCTCTTTCGCCGGACGAGGCGTTTAGTCAGGGAGCAAGGCCATACTGCAGCTCCGCACGTTTACTTCACTTGCCCCGCCCGGACCCTCCCAGCTCACGTAGGCGTCTGTAGCCAAAAATCCCCCGAGATCTGAGACTTTATTTAGGGGACTCGCTGCCCAGGTCACAGGCCGAATGTCCTCGCCAGAAGCCAAAAGCCCCGCCCGCGGTCCACCGCCTTTGGGGAAAGGTCCCCGCGGCCTGGCGGGAGCCAGTGACGTCAGGCGCTCCGCGGCTCCTGATTGGATGGCCGAGGGACGCGCCGTCGAAGTAGAAGGTTCAGCGCGCGGTCACTTCCAAGTTCCCTCGTGGGCTGCGGAGGCCGAGCAGGTCGGGCTTCAGGGCTCGGGCCCCGGGCTCGGGGAGGGAGGCCGCAGGCCGCGGCAGCCTCCGGCGCGCTCCTGCAGCTGCAGCCGCCGCAGGGGCCGGGCCCAGCGTGGCCTCCAGGGCAGCGCGACGCCGTGGCGGTCGAGGACCAGGCGCGCGGGGTCGGGGCCGCCGGCCGCGCTGCCCAGCAGCAGGTAGTGGGTGTCGGGCCGCAGGCGCACGCAGCCGCAGGCCAGGTCGGCGCGGGGCACCCAGGCGTCCTGGCCCCCGCGGCGCACGGGCCGCGCGCGCTGCTTGTACACGGCCAGCACGCGCACGGCCAGCCGCTGCCACGCCGGGCCCGCCGCCTCTGACGCCAGCACCTGCGCGCGGAGAACTGTGGGGAGGGTTCCGTCAGGCCCCCTGGGGTGGGGTGGCCAGGGGCCGGGGGTGGGGTGGGGGGGGACTCTGGTGTGCCCTGGGGTCGCTCTTGGTGCAGAGGTAGGCGGGATCCTGGGCTCCCGGGATACCGTTAGGAAGGAGAGAGACCTTGAACGTTTGAGGGTGGGCGGTCTGGGGGTCCGTGGAGGAGACAAAGGTGGGGCTTATGGAGCGCGAGGTTGGGTTCCAGGATTGTAATTACAGAGCCCTCCTCCCCCGGAGGGGAGGCCAGACCGAGAGAGGAACCCGGGGGCCTGGGCCATGCCAGGTGGGCCCCTTCGGGGTTCATACTGGAAGCAGCAGACGCCAGAGTTACTAAACGATCGGGCGCAGGGGACGGCTAAGGGGACCCTACAGTGGGTGTGGCTGGGAACAAGGCAGAAGAGGCAGGTTCAGGGTCTCTGATGTGGCAGAGTCAAGAGATGTCAGAAGCAGAGCCCTTGGGAAAGGGTATTGCTGGAGGAGGGGCTCCCGGACGAATCTGGGGGCCAGAAGGAGGTCAGAGCCTAGAACCTGAGGTCGTACTAGTGGTGATTCAGAACCATGTAATCAGGGAAGGGCGGAGGTGAGACGTGTCAGGGGAAGGACTCTGGCTGGCAAGCTGAGTCTGTGGGACAGAAGATCTCTGGGGGAGGCAGGAGGAGAAGTTTCCACCTTCCAAGTCCTAGGACACCAGTGGCTAGGACCAGAAGACGGCGATCTTCAGGGAAGAGAAGCCTGGGGTCTTATACTATTGAGGAAAGTAACGGGCTGGGCTGACCTCCTGAGGATCTAAGAGAACTGAGTTACCTGAGGTCACAGGCCCTGAGGTCACGGGGCTGGTGTGGACTGATGGATTGTGGAACTTTGGGGTGGGTCTCTGTGGGAGTGGGGCTGGGGTGCAGAATCTGGGACCCTGATGGGAGGCAGAAAGTATCTGATAGGCAAGAATGTCCATTCAGCCAGTTCCTCTTTCTCCTTCAGTCCCCAAGAGGCCACCTTTCTCGCTCAGAGGTGTCCGGCTGAAGGAGATAGTGAAACTCTGACGGCCCAGAAGATGGGGGAAGAGGGGACATAGGAAGATAGGGGACGCCCCCTCCTCCGCTGCCCCTGCCCCCCCCCCTTGTCTTCTGTCCCATTAGGTCCTAGATCAGGAAGGGTCCTTTAAGAGTGCACCTTCCCACTGAAGATGAGAACTCTGAAGCCCAGAGAAGGAGGTGGCCATCAGGTCCCCTGGGTAGCCTCGGGCCTTTTTTTCTCCCCGGCACTCACCATACTCCTGCTGGCAGTAGCGCCAAAGGCTCATGTGTACCCTGGTGTCCGACACATTGCAGTAGTTTTGACACTGAGGGTCTAGGGAGGGTCAGGACATCCGCAGTGGGCTCCCGAGGCCTGGGCCACAGCATTGTACCCCTGCCCGGCCCCGCGTTCCATCTTGATGGGCACGGGAGGCATGGGGGGTGAGGTGCTCCAACCCTGGGGACTGGGCTTTGCGGGCCACCCCCGTGTTCCCACCTGGGGGCCCCAGCAGCCCATCCCTGATCCCTCTTGCTGCCAGGGTTCTCCATACCAGCCTTACCGGAGCTGTAAGCGCCCGGGGTAGTCGCAGCGGGGGTTGTTACCTCTGGAATTCCTGTGAGAGACGAGAAATTTAATTTAGGGTCCCCCCCGCCCTCCCCCCGTCTGTCTATTCCCTTAAGCACCCTTTGCCCTCCTCCCCCAGGACCTGGAGCTGGTCCCTAGTCCCTTCCTCCTTTGGCTCCAGGAATCTAGACCCCCAGCCCCCTCCTCCCTGAGACACAGGAGTCCAGGCTCCCAGCCTCCTCCTTCCCAAGCCTAAGGAGACAGGAGTTCGAGGCCCCACCTCCCGCCAGGGACCCAGCCCTCAGCATCCGTTGGCCCTTGGCCACTGGAGGTGTGAGACGGCCCCTTCGTCCCACCTGGACAGGCGGCCCCGCCCCTCCTGACTCACGCTGGCAAGGCATCCTGGGAGAGCGGCTCTGCTGGTAGCCGGGCCCGCAGCGGTTGCACGTCAGCCCGATGACCCCTAGCTTGCAGGGGCACTGCCCGCTGGTCTGGTTGCAGATGCCACCCATCGCCCCGATAGGGTGACACTGGCAGGCTACGTGGGGAGAGGAGCCGGGGATCTGGGGTGTCTGGGCCCTAGGTGCTCCTTCCCAATCACCCAGCCCCCTCCCGGCTCAGACCCAGGAGTCCCGTCCTGCCCCCCCTTTCCTCCGAGGCCCCCCTCCAGGCTGCACTCACCCCTGCAGGCCTTGCGGCTGGTGATCGGCTGGCCGGGGTCCCTCCAGAACCCGGGCCGGCAGTAGTGGCAGTGGCGCCCAGCCGTGTGGTGGCGGCACCGCTCACAGACGCCCCCGCTGCGGCCCCCAGACAGCCTGAACAGCTCCGAGTTGAACCTGCACCTTCGGGCATGCTGGTTGCAGGAACAAGCTAGAAACAGGGCGGAGCAGGCACCCGTCAGGCTCGGCCTTTCTGTCCCCAGCCTCCACGCTCTCCCCCCACTGCCCGCAGGGGAAGAAACAAAGCGCACACGCGATTGGGTACAAAGAAGAGATGGCCTGGGGGTCCCAGGGTTAGCCTGGCTCCCAGAGCCTCTTCGTTCCCATCTTTACGATGGGCGCACAGGACTGGAGTGGGTAAGCCCAAGGGGCCCAATGGACCTCCTGATTGTCCGAGAGACACTGGGGGCTTAGCAAGGAGCGGCCCCTCCCGGGCGGGCGTGGGCTGTGAGTCAGACCCCCGCTCGTCCGCTCCCCGCTGTGTTCCTTGAGCAAGTGACTTCTTTCTGCAGCTCAGCTTCCTTTGCTGTAACATGACGGTTCCAACGTCTACTTCCTGAGGCTTAAGGGAAACCAAAGGGATATAGAGTCCTTGACCCAGAGCCTGCCCTTGCCTGTGGAGAGCTTCTGCATGCCCGGTGCCGTGCATTTCGTTCTCAGATCGGCTCTGTGAGGCTCATGGCCTCATCATCCCCATTTTGCAGATGTGAAAACAGAGGCACGGAGAGGCAAAGTCATCCGCCCAAAGCTGAGGGGCGGTGCGAGGCAGGGTCGGCACCCAGACCTCTGTCTCCGGACGGTTCAGTGTGGCTAGCAGCCTGTGCCCCGCGCACGTTTTCCTAGAGAACACTGGTCAGGGAGGCCGTGGGTGTCGAACCTTAGTACTACCTCTCACGGTTACCAGGAAACAGTTACAAAGAACAACACAGCTTCTCAGGGGCGCCCCCAGAGCCCAGGGATCTAGCCAGCATTTCTGAGCGAGGTGCTGATGCAGGGGGTTCGCTGGCCATTCTTTAGAGATATTTAAGGAGGGGCCTGGGCTCGCAGGCCCCCAGAACCCGGAGGAGCTGTAGAAAGTCAGGAAACTGAGGCAGCTGTGTGTTTTTGGAAAAATGACTCCGCTCTCTAAACTGAGGCTTCCTCCCGTCCAGCCCAGCGGGGACCTCAGCCCCTCTCTGCCGGGTTTCCGTGGGCCTCGCGGGCAGCAAGTGCTCTTCAGATGATCAAGGGGAAGAATCAGGCTTTGGATTCCTTCTGACCGGAGGGTGATCACTTCAGCTCATTTGCGCCTGGAACACTCCAGCCGAGAGAAGGCGTCCAGGTCACCCCCGTAGGTCAAGCCCGCAGCTCTGCCCCAGGGCTTAGTCCCACCTTGTTCCCACAGACCCTGCTTCCTCACAACACCATCGACTTTTTACCCCGGTTCGGAGTGCAGGCGTCATGCTCAGCCTGGGGCGATGTGGCGACCCTCAGCCAGACAGCCTGTCCAGGCCCAGGATGACCCCCGTCCTGCCCCCAGACAACGTGAGTCTCCTCTTGGGGATCAGACCTGGTTGGTGGGAAGGGATCAACTGAACAGAGGTCCTGAGGGGGTGGGGGCAGAGGGTGTAGGAAGACCCCAGTGAGGATGAGGACAGAGTGGGGAGCGAAAGCCAGGGGAATGGTCTGCAGATCCTTCCAGAAACAGAAGAGGGAGGGGCCTAGAATGTGGAGCGGGGAGAGAGGAGGTGTGTGTGTGTGTGTGTGTGTGTGTGTGTGTGTGTGTGTGTGTGGAGAGTGGAGTGGAGTGGAGGTACTTCCCAGGGCCTGGTAACAAACGCACCCCATTAACCAGGGCAGCAGGGGCTGGAGGCAGTAGAGAGAGGGCTGTCTGAGGAAAAACCGTGGGGGGCGGGGAGGGCTCGGAGCAGGCCTGGGGTGAGGTGGTCTAGCTGGATGGCCCAGTGGGTCGCCCATTATCTAGAAAAGTCTGTCTTCCTGAGTCCAGTCCCAGCACTGCCGCTTGCTGGCATGGAGACCTAAGGCAAGTGGGGCGCCCCCTGGGGCCCCACCTTCTTCATCCAGGGAACGGTAACTCTGGCTCAGTATGGCCAGGGCCCGTACTAAGCTTCATTGTAAGGACTCTATGCCTATCAACTCATTGGGTTTTCAGCACAGCCTGTAAAAGAAGAGCTGTGACTAGCCCCGCTTGAGAGGCGAGGAAGCGGAGGCACAGAGAGGTCAGGTCACTTGCCTGTGGTCACACAGCCCTGGAGCAGAGGAGCTGGGATTTGAGGCCAGGCTGGCCCACCCGTCCCTGAGCCCGTGTCCCCATCTGCCTCTCTGGGGCGCCTGGCGTGACAGCACCTGCCAGGAGCTCGGCAGGGACAAGCCAAGACCCCAGAGCCGGAGTCCCCGAGCTTGGATCCTGACTCTGCCACTTCCTAGCTGTGTGTGCCTGTGCGAGGGACTTCCTCCCCTCGGGCCTCAGCCTCCTCATCCTTAAAAGGGGCCCAATGACAAAGCCCGCCTGGTACACAGCAGGTGATGGGGACGTGTGTGGTTAGTGGGTAAAGACTTCCCCCGCGTGGTTGGTTTGACGAGTCGGGAAAAGTCCAGCTGCCCTGTTCCCCAGGACTGTTGGGTAAGTGTCACTTGAGCACCTACCGCGGGCCAGGAAAGGTTAGAGCAGCCGCGGGGGCATGTAAGGGTGGGCGGCAGAGACTGGGGCAGGCAGGGGGAGGCTGTGCGGGAGGTGAAGAGGGGACCCGCTCAGGAGCGTGAGCGGCAAGCCCGGCTCAGAAGGGAGTGATTGATAGGTGGAGGGCAGGAAGAGGAGGGCCCAGGACTCACGCAGGCAGGGGTGGGGGTGCTGGGGCGTGGCGGGCCGCCAGGGCCAGTCTCGATGGGACGGGCGGCAGCTCTCACAGCCCGGGCCGGTGGTGTGGTGGCGGCAGCGGCAGCGGGGCGGCCGGGCACGGGCGGCGCAGCGGGCGGCATGGCCGTGGCACTGGCAGCGGCCGCGAACCCCACCCGCCGCCAGCCCCGCCCGGCCCCCGAACTCCACGCGGAGGTGACTGACCACCACACCGGACATAGGGCCGGGCGGGGCTCGGAAGGTCACCTTCTCGGGGCCCCCCAAGGCCCCGGGCCAGGCGGGTCTGCGCCACAGGGACCTCCAGGGGCCCTCCGTGGCCCAGGCGGCAGACAGGACCAGGGCCGGGGATCCTGGCGTGCAGAAGCGTAGGCTGACGGACGTCAGGAGGAAGGGGCCACCCAGGGCCAGGGTCAGACTGCCATTGCAGGTGGCCCGGGGGCTGAGGTCCGCCCCCAGGGAGAGGCCACAAGCCTGGGGACAGGAGGCCGCCAGGCCAGCCAGCTGGGTCACGGGTGGGAGGCAGAAGCGGGGGCGGCCACCTGGAAGGTAGCACGGGTCTGCGGTGGCCTGGCTCAGCAGGAGCAAGAGGGCAAAGGTCACGGGCATGGTCCTGGCAGAGCAAGTGCCTGGAGAGAAGAGGAGAGGAGAGACCAGGCTGAGGGTCGCGGCTCAAGCTCCGCCGCCTGCTCCCCCAGGCTCTCTGAGGAGCGCCAGCATTCCACCCCCCCCACCCCCTGCCCAAGCCCCCCTCCCCGGCTGCTTCTAAGCGAGGAAAATAGTTCCATCTGGGGGGAATTACTGTTTACATAACCCAAAGGGAAAAGAACGCAAGCAAAATTGAGAATTTTGCCTGAACTAATCCGGAGCTTAACACCCCAGAGCTATCGTCAGTGTCGAGGGGCAGGGGGCCCTGGGGAGAGGGCAGGGGTGGGGACAGAGGGGGAATCCTAGAGAAGGCACCAGGGAGAGGGGCATTTAGAAACAGACGAAGCTCAGAGACAAAGGGACAGAAGCACAAACGGCCAAGACAGACAGGAGGGGACCCAAGTGTAAGGGAAGGGCCGGGTGCAGAGAAGGAGCCATGAAGAGAGACGACGGGACACAAGGGGAGACCAGAAGGCCCAGACAGATAGCGGCTGGGCACCCGGATCCACAGGGAACAGGGTGGGGGGACAGAGTGCCTGGGAGCCCAGCGCCCGGACAGACAGACAGACAGACAGACAGGCAGACAGGCAGGCAGGCAGACAGGCAGGCAGGCAGACCTTCGGGCTCAGAGACACCCCGCAGTAAGAAGAGAGAGCAGAAGCCAGACAGCCTCGCCTGCCGGCCATGGGGAGGGGAGGGGAGGGGCCCGGCGGGGGGATCAGAAGCCCGAGGCCAGGCCCCCAGCCCACGAGGATCAGAGCAGAGGCCCTTTCCCACGTGGGGCCCTAACCTTGTTCTCCACACCCAGGGCACGGAGGGGGATTATCGCCAAACACCGCCACCCACCCCCAGCCTCCACCCGGCCTTAACCCTTTCCCACCCAGGTGCAAAGCCCAGAGAAATGTGCTGAGGAACCCGAGGGGGGAACACCTGGGGAGAAGAAGCCTGGGTCACGCTGGAGCTGGAGAGCGGGGTTAGGAAAAGCGGGTGCCCGAGTTCCCCTCAGAATTCGGGCCGGGAGAACCCCGGACTTGGATTTCCGAGGGCTTGGTTGTGATCTCAGCCCTCGCCACTCCCGCCTGCCATCCTAGGCCTCAGGGTCTGGAGACCGGAGCCCCCATACTGTCCATCCAGCCCGAGGTCCCCAGATCAGAAGGGGGAATGGCTGTGGGGGGTGGCGGGTGCTGAGGAAGCCGGGGGAGAGAGGGGGGACAGGGCAGGGCCCGATGCCCAGGCGTCCGAGGGGGCCTGAAGTCCCGACCCTGGGACTGCAGGAGCTGGGAGGGACTTGGTGCTGACATGCCCCCTGTTTTCCCATTTCAGGGCTGGCCACCCCTCACGAGGAACTTCCTCAGATTTGGGGGGTCTTGGAGCCTTTCTGGGCCCCACTGTCCACGCCCCTGGCTCGCTCCTGGCCTGGGAGTCTGTGAGGCGTCTGGGGGTGCAGGAGGGGTCCCATCCTCCCCCAGCCTGCTTTCACGACCCCCGGTGTCCCCCGGTGTCTGCCATGTGCAGAAACCACGTCCCCTGCCCCCGACGACGGGCATCGCCCTCCGCCCCTCCCAAGGGCCCTGGCGCCATTTTGTTCACTGGCGGCAGCGGGCATTTGCCCCGTCCGTTCCCGCCAGCCTTGTTAAGGGCCTGGCCCCCATCTCCTGCCTCTCCTTTCTGGCCTGGCTGGGGCCCGGGGTACCACTTTCTGGCCCCCAGCACCTGGGACCACCAGGCCGTGAGTCCCCCAGTGTTCCTGAGGGGTCCAGAAGCCAGCCCCTGGCCATCTGGGAGCCCAGATGTCCAGCCTCCAGTCTCTACCCCTCTGGGAACCGGAGCGATCCCACCGCCCCCTACCCCTGTAAGGAGCAGACTTAGCTGTGCTCCCACCAGACCCATAGGTAGGCCCCCAGGCCTGGGCCGTGTGGATCCCTGGCTGCTTTTGCACGCGCCCTGCCCTTTGCCCCTGATGTTGGCCAAACCTGCACCCAAGAAGAGAGTGTCCTCTGCGCAGCGTTCCTCACATGTGCTCCCCTCCCGCGGGAGCTCAGCGGCGCGGGGGCTCTCAGGAGTGAGCGCTGAGTGGCTGTCGTCAGGCCCCAGGCTAGTGGGGGTTCTGGGCGGGAGCTCGGAGAAGAGCCCGCAGAATCCAACACCACCACCGCTCCCCCCAACCCCCGCCCCAATCCCCTTCGCCAACCGCAGCCACGCTCTCCCCGCAGGGACCCCGGCCAGCGCCGCCACCCAGGACTACGTGGGGCACCAGGGACGTCGCCACACAGCCCCGAGCAGGAGCAGGCTGGCCCAGGAGGTTCAAAGCAGGTAGGACCGGCCGGCCCAATGGGCTTTCCCGGGTCTGGGGTCCCCGCCGCACTCACACTTAGACCCCTGCCCACGGACTCCCAAGGACAGGCAGTCTGCTGGGCTCAGCCCGCCACATGGTGGTGTGATCGATGCGGAAGGGAAGGGGCTGACCTTTCAGGCAGGCGTCAGGGCGGCCGCTGGCTCACACCGAAGGGGGGACCCCCAGCCAGCACCTCCTCCCCTCGGGAACCTTCTGTCAGTTGTGGGTAAACTGAGGCTGAAGGTCAGTCACTTTCAAAACCCCCCAGATCGGTGCTTTTGTGGGGGTCTGGACAGCCACCGGGAAACCCAAAGAATTGGGCCGCTTTCTGAGATGGTGGGGAAGGAGGACAGGCGGTAAGAAGCCTGTGACCTGGCGGTGGCGGGAGGAAGCAGGGACCCCAGCTCAAAGCCAGCCTCCCCGCAGCCGCAGCCGGTTTCCTGCGAGGCCGCCCCGCTTCACCCTGGAATGGTCATGCAGATGTGGCTGCCCAGCCTTACCCACCCGGTGGTTTTGACTAGAAAACTAAGGGCTTCCATCACTTCCCGCTGAGAGAAGCTGGGGGTGGGGGTGGGGGACCTCAGAAGGATGGGACACAGATACTTGCTTGCTGCTGCGCCCTTCAGTGCCTTCATTTCGGCCGTGCTGCGGACCCGATCTGACAGACTTGGGGGCCCGCTGGCGGGAGCCTGTCCCCGGGTCGGGAGGGCACAGCCAAAGCAGTGTGTGATTCTGGTTCGGGGTGATCCTCCCGTGCCAGCACGAGCAGCAGAAGCCGGGAGAAAGACATCGGATTTGAAATTCAGCTGGGAGGAGCAGTTAGCCGCCAGAGAAGGGGGTTGGGGGCGGAGACACCCCCATGCCCGAGGGCGCATATGGGTTCTGGGGACGGGACTGCGTGAGCGACAAGGTAGCATCCCTGCATGAATTCATCCAGCAAGTGCGCCCCGAGTCTCTCCTGGGTGCAGACACTCCGTTGAAGCTACTGCTACGAACTCATACCCCCCCCCCCACCTTGTCAGTCAGGCTTACAATCCAGAGAGAAGAGCCATCGCTACTGAAAAGTCGTAAGTAATTTTGCCCCAGAGGATGGTGGAAGATGACAGGGGCTGCGGGACAAAAGCAAGCATGTGTGTGTGTGTGTGTGTGTGTGTGTGTGTGTACAGAGAGGACATCTGCGCTGAGACCTGAAAGCAGTGAGGACAAACCGCAGGCCACCCCGAGTATCATCGTCGGGGCTGGAACGACACGGGCAGAGGGGAAGACCAGCGCAAAAGGCTAGCGTGGCTGCCGGAGAAAATTCTAGAAGGTTTAGGTCGAATTTTATCTTCCTCCCCAGCCGGAGACAAGACATTTCTTGAACCAATGGGACCTGGAGGGAGGCTTTCTTCCTCACTTTTTATTGTCCTAGACTGGGCCGCTAGAGGCGGCTGGCGTCCCTGAAGGTGTCTTGGAGGCGGTGTGGGGGGAAGGGTAGAAGCAGCCAGAGCCGAGGGAAGAATTCTCCAAGTCCGGAAGGATACTTCATTTATTTATTTATTTGTTTTTGGAGAAAGGGTTCCTCATGTATTGAGTACTTTTACCCCCAGCTGGGAGGAAGCAGGACCCCCCAGGGACACAGCTCAGCGGTGGCCCAGCAGGGCAGGTCCCTCAGCTCTGTGCTTGCTGAGATCTTTTGTCCCTACCTGGGCGGCCCAGGAGTAGCAAAGGCCCCACAAGACGGGGTGGGTCACATTCGCGGCTGACTGCACTGAGTAGTGCGTGTGAGGGTTCTCCCAAAGGAATACTCGAAAAATCCCGAAAAATCCGGGACAGTAACTGACAGCAGAGACCCTTGGACCACACTGCCTGGGTTCCCGTCACGCTCTGCCTCTTTCCTAGCCGTGTGACCTAAGGCAGGTTTCTCTTTTCTCTCTTTTTTTATTTTTTATTTAAAAAAAATTTTAATGTTTTTATTTATTTCTGAGAGAGAGAGACAGCATGAGCAGGGAGACAGCATGAGTCAGAGAGAGAGGGAGACACAGAATTCGAAACAGGCTCCAGGCTCTGAGCCAGCTGTCAGCACCGAGCCCAACGCGTGGCTTGAACCCACGAACCGTGAGATCATGACCTGTGCCGAAGCCAGCCGCCCAACCGACTGAGCCACCCAGGCGCCCCAACTTCTCTCTTTTTTCATAATTCAAAAAATTTATAATTTATTTTTGAGAGAGAGATGGAGTGCGAGCAGGGAAGGGGCAGAGAGGGAGACACAGAATCTGAAACAGGCTCCAGGCTCCAAGCTGTCAGCACAGAGCCCGACGCGGGGCTCGAACTCACAAACCTTGAGATCCTGACCTGAGCCGAAGTCAGACATTCAACCGACTGAGCCCTCTGGCGCCCCCACCTTTCCTGCTTCTGTAGCAAAACACAGGGACATCCTGTTAAGCCAGGTCCACAAAATGCCGCAGGTCAAGGCAGGCCACGTTTTGTCCCCAGATGAGTTCGGTTCGGGTCGGGGATTGGCCACCAAACTGTAGGAAAAAGGCGGACGAGGAGTTGCGCACGGAGTTGCGCCAGGAACCGTGGAAACCGTAGCCTCGATCCGCTACTTTCTGTGGCTTTCTAGTTGTTCAGGCTGACGGAAAGCCAGGAGAGGGCGCCGTTGAGACGCAGTGGGTGGCCGCAGGACTGGCTGCCGATTTCCAGAGCCCAGGGGAACCTGGAAATTTCGGGGGCCTTATTCACATTTATTGATCATTTCTAGCTGAGGACTAAACCAAGTGCAAGCCCCCCGCTTTTTTTTTTTTTTTTTAAAGTAAACTCTGCACCCAACTCATAACCCTGTGATCAAGACTTGCACGTTCTACCAACTGAGCCAGCCAAGTGACGCGCGGGGCCCTTTTGAGTGCGGGCCGTGTGCAACTGCACGGGTCACACACCTGGCTCGTGGGTACCTTTGTCCTGGGCTGCTCCCTCCTCCCCGCTAGCCCAGGCTCTAGTCCCTGCTCAGCTCCCCAGCTCCGCCTTTGCGACCTGGCCAGCCCCACAAGCTGGCCTAGAGCCTGAGGCCTCAGGCCTCTGCGTAGAGCTCCAGGCAGGGCCCCAGGCAGGACCCGAGCTGACAGCCGGTGTGATAGGGTTGGGACAGAAGCTGTCAGCAGAGGGGCTCGCTCTTTGGAAGCCAGAGCAGTGGGCAGGGCACTTCTCGGACACCCAGGTGGAGGGTGATGTTCCACTTAGCCCTGCTGTGGAAGAGCCAGCTGACCTTGCTGGGGCCCCACGCTGAACAAGAGACATTTGAGGAGGGGGCTCAGATTTCCCACAGGGGTCAGATTAATAAAGTGCAGAGCCCTGGAGTATAGAAGGAGGAGAAGAGCTGAGGCAAGGCCCACAGCACCCTGACATTAGAGGGGGAGAGACGGGGTGCCTGGAGCAAGGTGGGACGGCAGCCAGATGATGAAGAGTGGGGTTTCCTTCCTTCCGGGCTCATGAGACCTGAGCTGTAGCTGCTGAAATGGCCACAGGGAAACCCCAGGTGCAGAGGAGAAGAGAAAGCAGGTCAGGAAGCGCTGGATGCCACTAGACAGGCTTGGATGAGTCACATGAGGAGTGAACAATTTGGGGGTGAAGGAGACTCCCGTGCCCCTCGCCTTCCGCCCTGACTGTGTCGTCCCTCCGCTCCTCAGCCATCGTGGGATCCAAGGCCACTTGCCCTTCCGTCTCCACCGTCTGCTTCCTCTTCATCGTCTTCGTCGTGTCCACCATCTTCCACTGCCACCGGCGCCTGGCCGTCGTGCCCACCCCCTGGGCCTACTCTGGCCGCGTGGTCCTGCTCCCCCGATCCCTGCCCCAGGGCGGCATGTTCACCATCAACTCCCAAGGGCGCCTGGGGAACCAGATGGGCGAGTATGCCACCCTGTACGCCCTGGCCAAGATGAACGGGCGGCCGGCCTTCATCCCGGCCGAGATGCACGGCGCGCTCGCCCCCATCTTCAGGATCACCCTCCCCGTGCTGCACCGCACCACGGCCAGCAAGATCCCCTGGAGGAACTACCCCCTGAACGACTGGATGGAGGAGCGGTACCGCCACATCCCGGGCGAATACGTGCGCCTCACCGGCTACCCCTGCTCCTGGACCTTCTACCACCACCTCCGCGCCGAGATCTTGCAGGAGTTCACCCTGCACGACCATGTGCGGGAGGAGGCCCAGGCGTTCCTGCGGCGGCTGCAGGTGAACGGGCGACAGCCGAGCACCTTCGTGGGCGTCCACGTGCGCCGGGGGGACTATGTGCAGGTGATGCCCCGGGTGTGGAAGGGCGTGGTGGCCGACCGGCGGTACCTGGATCAGGCCCTGGACTGGTTCCGGACCCGCTACCGCTCCCCCGTCTTCGTCGTCACCAGCGACGGCATGGCCTGGTGCCGCGAGAACATCAACGGCTCCCTCCGCGACGTGGTGTTGGCCGGCAATGGCCTTCAGGGCTCGCCGGCCAAGGACTTCGCGCTGCTCGCGCAGTGCAACCACAGCGTCATCACCGTGGGCACCTTCGGGATCTGGGCCGCCTACCTCGCAGGGGGGGACACCATCTACCTGGCCAATTACACCCTCCCAGACTCCCCCTTCCACCGGATCTTTAAGCCAGAGGCGGCCTTCCTGCCCGAGTGGGTGGGCATCGCCGCTGACCTTGGCCAGGCCAGAGAGAACAGCCCCTAGACCGCGTGCGCCTCCTAGCTCTCCAGCCAGCAGGCGGGCCCAGGATCGGGTACCCACGGCTTGCCTCCCCGGGGCGGGGGGGGGGGTTGTCCCCCTTCCCAGCTGGGGGACCTCAAACAAGTGACTAACTTCTCTGTGCCTTTGCGGCTGTGCAAGGCAAACTTGATACAGGACCTCCCTCAGCAGCTCCCCTCAAGAACCCAGCAAGTCCATTCAGTGCCTTGGAAACATGCTGGAAGTGTTGGCCGCTGGGGGGGGGGGGGTGCCCAGGCTGCCCTGAACAGGTGTGCTGCTTTAAGGTGGAAACACATTTTTCGTCCAGTGTGGATGAAAGTTGGATAAAGTGATCACAGTGTGGGTTTTCTGATGTTCAGCGTATTTAGAAGTATGGAGATACCAGTATCTTTTATCGGTGCATTACTCCTTTCTGGATAAAAAATATATATATCCTTTTTTTCAACGTTTACTTATTTTTTAATGTTTATTCTTGAGAGAGAAGAGATAGAGCACAAGCAGGGGAGGGTTAGAGAGAGAGAGGGAGACACAGAATCTGAAGCAGGCTCCAGGCTCTGAGCTGTCAGCACAGAGTCCGATGCGGGGCTCGAACCCACGAACCGCGAGACCGTGACCTGAGCTGAAGTTGGATGCCCAACTGACTGGGCCCCCCAGGCACTGTTGAATCCCCATTTCTTGGGATGCTTCTGGGGTCAAGCAACTTTGTTTTCACGTATTAATCATCTTGTATCTCTCCCCAGAGCCATTTTGACCCCCATTTACTTCCTTCAGTCCAGATGGAGGCCATCATGGTCTGGGGAGTGGGGGCTTAGGGTGGGGGGATACTAAAAAAAGCTGGAGAAGGTTCCAGAGGAAGGGGAGGGAGGTTCTCTGTGAGCCCTCTACTGCTGCTTAGCAAATTTACTCCAAAACATAGTGGCTTAAAATAACTGCGGTAATTTATCACCTCCTACAGTGTGTGTGGGTCAGGAATTTGGGAGCGGCTTGGCTGGATGGTTCTGCCCGCCAGGTGTCAGCCAAGGCCAGGCATCGGATGGTCCTCTTCGAGACTGGAGTGGGGGGAGGGGGGAGGAGGTGCTGTGTGAGCCTCAGGGGCCGGATTCCTTCCTAGAGAGAAATCCAAGAGACCAAGGTGGAAACCGCCGTGGTTTCACGGCCCAGCCGGCCCAGGCCACACATGGTCACACAGAGCAGCCCTGGTCCACTGTGGGAGGGGACTGCACGAGGTTATGGTCACCAGGAGCGGGCGGCCCAGGGGCCGGAGAACTACTTTAACAAAGTACCAAAGACCGGGCGGCTCAAACCACAGACACGGATTGTCTGACGGCTCTGGAGGCTGGAAGCCAGATCCGCAGGTCAGCTGGTTGGCTCCTTTTTTTTTTTTTCTTTTTTGATGTGTATTTATTTTTGAGACAGAGACAGAGACAGAGAGTGAACAGGGAGGGGCAGAGAGAGGGAGACACAGGATCCAAAGCAGGCTCCAGACTCTGAGCCGTCAGCACAGAGCCCGATGCGGGACTCGAACTCACGAACCGCGAGATCATGACCTGAGCTGAAGCCAGAGGCTTAAGCTTAGGCGACCGAGCCATCCAGGCACCTCCCTTTCCGTGTTTCTTCTGTTCTCTCAAGGCCAGTCCCTCCTCCCTCAGGATAATTTACCGGAGCCTGGATGTTTTCCCAGATTATCCCCTTTGGAAAGACTCCAGCCGGGAGGATACAGGCATCTCAGCGGTGACCCGTGGCCCGCTACCAACTGCAACAATAGCAAAATACAGAAGTGACTGGAGGCATAGCTCACATTTCACTAAAGTACCGCTGTGCCAGATCCCTTCCTCCAGCTCCTCCGAGTCTCCTCTCCAACTTCCTCCTCCCGCTCAGCGTTCCTCGAGCCCGTTCTGCCCTGGACCGAACGTTTATCCCTTCACAACTCCAGTGTTGAAGCCCTAACCGCCAACCGTGCTGGTAACTGGAGGCGGGGCCTTGGTGGGGGTGGGGGGAGGCGATCGGATCACGAGGGAGAAGCCCTTAAGTAACACGATCGATGCCTTGTGCCCGTGTTGTTTTAATGTTTATTTTGGAGAGCGAGAGCGAGCAAGGGAGGGGGCGGAGGGAGGAAGACCCGAAGCTTTGAAGCCGGCTCCGTGCTGGGAGAGCCCGCCGCGAGGCTTGAACTCCCCAGCCGTGAGATCAGGACCTGAGCCAAAGTCAGACGCTTAACCCTTAACAGCCTGAGCCCCCCAGGCGCCCCGGGATCAGTGCCCTTGTAAGAAAGAGACAAGAGAAAGATGATCTCTGTTTACTATCTGACAGCAAATCAGGAAGTGCGCTCCCTCCAGGCACAGGAGAGAGCCGGCACCTTGACCTTCAGCCTGCAGGAGGAATGCACTGTTTAAGCACCCGGTCTGTGGCCTTCTTGCTGCAACAGTCCAAACTGACTGATAAGACCGTTTCCGCGGGCTCCCTGGCCTTGTGGCTCCGGCTGGCTTGGGTCGGTAGGATTATACAGTCCAGAAATCAGGGGGAAGGGGAGCCAAGCTGGGGCATTATTCTCCTGACCCATCCCTGCTGACCTGGGGCGTGGTGACTGCTCCCAAGTCCATGGCCCCCCGGGGGCTGTACCGCCTTCTTTTGGTTTCCCTACATCCTACCCACACCTTTGCGGAACTGTCCTCCTAAAATCTCCTGTTGCCCCAGCGACTGTTCCCTCTGTGTTAGGACCCTGAATGATGCCCCCAGAATTTTGCTCGCATCCCGAAGAAACCCCCGCACCCACATGGCTCTGGCCCTGAAATCACGCAGCTCAGTGGCACGCTGACCTGTCTTCAGTCAGAAGCAAGTTGGTTCCGAAGAAAATAATGAAAATAACGAAGAGGTGGGACATTTCCCGCAGACCTCACTTCGGGGACAAGGATGGAAGGCTTGGGCGGGCGCCGCACCGGTTCCCGCAGGCAGGGGCGGGGAGGCGGGGCGCCCGCCTCCCACCTCTCTCTTCTCGAACTGTTACGGAATCTGGGCTGCATCCCTCGACGGAAGAACCAAGGGCACTCGGAGATCTTGGAAGGCGGGAGGTTTATTTTACACCGATGGGCTCAGAGGAGACCTTTCTGCAGAGGGCTGAGCCTGAGCATCATCAGAGGGAAAACTTTATCGCCTGTTACTTCCGCATTCCTCATTATTGCGTGCGATCAGCAGGGTGGGAAGAAGAACCCGGAAGGGGGAGTCTCTGATCCGGGACAGGTATTTCCTTATCAGTCCTGTCGGCCATCTTATAACAGGTTTTTCCCTATCAGAACATCCTGGGGACGATGTAGGCCCTGGGGGAAGACTCTGAGGATCCCCCCTCCCAGCCCCCCTCCCACATTATCTCCCGGGACGTCTCCGCTGGGAAGGAGCCCCGCTGGGTGACAGACTGGACGCTGCTGGCTTCCGGGAGCTGGGTGGAGCAGCACAGTAAGCTTCTAGTTCGTTCTGTTTAATTTAAATGCTAAGGGGACCCAGCTCTGTTCCCTTGTTTGGAAAAGGAAGTAAGTGACTTTTATTTCATGAGGGCCAAAGCAGAAATTGGCCAGCTGTCAACCATAAATTGCACTCATTCAGTCAACAAATATTTGCTGAGCTCCGCCCTGGGCTCAAAGACCTCCCACCTGGTCCCCACCACGGGGAGGGGGACGGGAGGAAGCCCAAGGCAGGAACCCCTTAGCCCTGTACTCCAAACCCAGTTACGGGTCGAATTGTGTCCCCCCGCCCCCCAAAAAAGATTGGTGGAAACGCTAATGTCCAGGATCTCAGAATGTGCCCTTATTTGCTTAACAGGGTCTTTGCAGATAAATTAGTTAAAACGAGGTCATGCTGGGGTAGGGTGGGGGCCCCACCTCCGACGTGGCAGGTGACATGGGCACAGGAGGGGACGGCACGCCATGTGGCCAAGATCAGCTTCTAGCCCCTGATTGGGAGGGAATGGTTTTCTATTGTTCAAAGGCACACAGTTTGCAGCGTGCGGTTAAGAGCAACCTGGGGAAGCTGATAGGGTGCTTCATGTATATTTATTGAATGACTTCGACAAGCGTTGAGCTGGTGCCCAGCTCCTCACTCCACGCACCAGCAGATTAGACACGGGCTGCCTTGGCCCAGACCTGTGTTTCTGGTCAGATCACGGAACCCAGGGGCCATAAGGGGAGAGCACTTGGTGGGGCTGAGTCCCGCCAGGGGTGACCTGGTTGAACATGGGAAGCTTATAGAGGCTGTACAGGCATGCCACATCCTGGATGTGGGGTGACCCAGCACCCACATCCCTGCTTGTCATCTATAAGTCCCCAAAACCCCCAGAGCCCAGAAAGCTATCCTTCCAGAAGAAACTCAGGGCTTGGCAACCAAATGCCTGTACTTGAATTGAGCTAACCCAGCTGGGGGTCCCGGCACCTTGGGTGGAGACCAGGGGTTGAGCCCAACCGGAAATGGATTTCCGGGTGGTACATTCCCCTCTGGCAGCCTTGGACTCAAATGCAAGGAGCCGGGGAGGTAGCGTTCGCAGAATGAGGTTCACTTCACAGCTCAGCTCAGGTTCGTGAGATTCCCAGCCTTATAGCCCGCAGGTTGGAGATAAGACCACTTCCTCATCACCATTGAAAAGAAAGCCTCCAGGGTATATATTTCCCCTGCAGTGACTCAGAGGGGACACAGAGCTCAGTGGTTAAGCGCACGTGCATGCCCTCTGGCCACAGGCTGAGGAAGTCAGGCTCCCACACCCCCGCTGGCTGTGTGACCCAGGGCAAATGACTTCACCTCTCTGAGGATTAAACAGTACGTGGCAGGGGGCGTCTGGGAGGCTCGCTCTGTCATTTAAGCATCTGACTCTGGATTTTGGCTCAGGTCTTGATCTCATAGTTCACATGAAATGTCCAGAAAAGGCAAATCCACAGAGACAGAAAGCAGATTGATGGGTGTCTGGGGCCGGGAGGTTGGGAGGCAGTGGGCAGTGAGCGCTAATGGGTTCAGGCTTTCTTTTGGGGGGATGAACATGTTCTAGAATGACTGTGGGGATGAGTGCACGACTCTGCAGCCACTCTGGTTTATAAGCCACTGATCCGTAGGCCACCAAATACAAGCCACCAAATTGTATACGTCAAGTGATTTGTATACTTTACATTTTATAGTATGTGAATTAGATCTCAAGCAAATGGTGATTAAAACATCAACCGCACCTGGCATGGTGACACATTAAGGGACTGTTAGCTGTTATCGCACACAGGGAAAAGGGTGCCATCCCAGGTGGGGATGGGACCCATGGAGTTCCACTTTTGCATGAGGGTGTGTTTGTGGTGGTTAAAAGGAAGAAGAAGGGGTGCCTGGGTGGCTCAGTAGGTTAAGCGTCCGACTTTGGCTTAGGTTATGATCTTGCGATTTGTGAGTTCGAGTCCCATGTCAGGCCTGGATCCTGCTTCAGATTCTGTGTCTCCCTCTCTCTCTGACCCTCCCCTGCTCATGCTGTCTCTCTCTCTCTCACACACACAAATAAATAAAAAACATTTTTAAAAATTTTAAAAAAAGAATAAGTAACCCTTAATCTGGATGTCCTCTCCAATGAAAAAAAAAAAAAATTAAAAAAAGAAATAAAAAGGGGCGCCTGGGTGGCTTAGTCGGTTAAGCGTCCGACTTTCGCTTAGGTCATGATCTCGCGGTTCGTGGGTTCGGGCCCCGCGTCGGGCTCTGTGCTGACTGCCAGCTCGGAGCCTGGAGCGTGTTTCGGTCTGTGACTCCCTCTCTCTCTGACCCTCCCCTGCTCACACTGTCTCTCTCTCTCTCTCTCAGAAATAAATAAAACATTAAAAAAATTTTTTTAAAAGAATAAGTAAACCTTAGGGGCGCCTGGGTGGCTCAGTCGGTTAAGCGTCCAACTTCGGCTCAGGTCATGATCTCAAGATTTGTGGGTTCGAGCCCCACGTCAGGCTCTGTGCTGACAGCCAGCTCAGAGCCTGGAGCCTGCTTCAGATTCTGTGTCTCCCTCTCTCTCTGACCCTCCCCTGCTCACGCTGTCTCTCTCTCTCTCTCTCTCTCCTAGAAATAAATTTTAAAAAAAAAAACATTAAAAAAAAAAAGAAATAAAAGGAAGAAGAAAAAAAATAAAGACAATTTTGAGACTATTAGGGAAAATTATAATTTGACCGCGTATTGACTTAATTTTAGGGCTAGTAACAGCATGGTATTTGGTACACATTTTTATTTTATTTATTTATTTATTTATTTATTTTTTAATGTTTAATTTTTTTTTTGAGAGAGAGAGAAGCAGAGTACAAGCAGGGGAGGGGCAGAGAGAGGGGGAGACAGAATCTGAAGCAGGCTGCAGGCTCCTAGCTGTCAGCACAAGCCCAATGCGGGGCTCAAACTCACGAACCGTGAGATCACGACCTGAGCTGAAGTCAGACACCTAATCGAAGACACCCAGGTGCCCCTATTTTTATTATTATTTTTTTAAGTTTACATGTTTATTTTGAGAGACAGAGCTAGAGGGATTGGGGGAGGGGCAGAAAGAGAAGAAAAGAGAATCTCAAGTAGGCTCCACACTATCAGCGCAGAGCTGGACACAGGGCTCCATCCCATGAAAACCGTAAGATCATGATCTGAGCCGAAATCAGGAGTCTGAAGGTTAACTGACTGAGGCCCCCAGGGGCTCCTACCGACACCCCTTTTTGTGCCCGGGGACAATCTTAGGGTGGCCTCACCCTGGTTTCCAGCCCATAGGGCTCCCAGTCTGATGGCAGAGACCACAGGGAACCTTCATGGGCGTTGCTGCTCGGAGCCCTAGCAGGGAGGCTGGAGGAAGGTTTGGAAGAGCCCTTTAGCTGACACGGAGTGTCTCCTCACTGCCGCAGAGCCTGTGGGTGGCGGGAGGTGGAAGGGAGCTCGAGCATTTCACCCTCCACTTGGCAATCCCTATGCACCTTGCCTGTGGTCACCACACACGCGCCCCATCCACAAAGCCCACATGCAGCCCGGGGCCCCTCTAACCCCGTGGTTAAAAACCACACACATCCCGGACTTAGATACTCATCTATGTCACTGTTTACCTACATAGAGGTCTGGCAATGTGTTCCAGATTCCTGGGGGTGAGGGACAGCTCTTCACTAGGTAACGACTCTTCATTCTGGCACCCCCGGCCCTGGTCATGGTAGTGAGTACTGTGTATATGTGCACGCCCACCAGCACACACGTTATCGTACACACATAGAGGCTGCTGGGAAGTTATCGGGTTCACTTACCTCTCATGGACAACATCTCAGAGATGGAGGTCTGAAAACCCCTCCCTTAATTCCTTCCTCCCTTCTTTCCACAAATATGTATAGAGCACCTACTATCTTCCAGGAAATGTTCTAGACAGCAAGGACCTAAGAGCCAGCAAAATGGACATGACTTCAGGAAACTGTCACCTTAATGGGAGGTGTTTCAGTTAGCTACTGCTGTGTAACAAGCAATCCCCAAATGTAATGGCTTTAAGTGCAGAATTTATTATGTGTCACAATTACTGGATCAACGGGGTGTTTCACCTCTCCGCATGGTGTCTGAGGTTTCTCCTGTGGCAGCCACTCCAAGCTCGGCAGGGATCTCGGTTGGGACCGTTAGGCGTCCCGCATGTGGCCTGTCTCCTGCAGGACAGACTAGACAGCTTGTTGGCTGGATTCCAAGGGGACACGTGTCAGTGTTCCCAGAAGTGCGGAACATATTTGTGCAGGATCTTGTTTACAATCAGTATCGGTGACAGAGAGGGTTAGAGTCACTGTCACTGGTAACTGTCCACCTGCTGAAACAAACAAACAAAAGCCTTCGGGTTCAGGATATAAATCCCAGCTCCACCACTTACAGGCTGTGTGGCTTTGGGCAAATGACTGCGCCTCTCTAGGCCTCAGCTGGTAGTGATCCCCTCACAGGGTTGGGAGGATTCAGTAGGCTATGGTTGTTCATGACGTACAGCAATGAGTAACATCGATAGATTTCCTGCCTTTGGGGAACCTATGGCCTTTACAGATATTTTTAGTGTCATTATTATTGTTTTATTATCATTCAAGGTGCAAAATGAACATAAAGATCTGTTCTGGGGAGGGACCAGGAACAGAGGATTATGGGGGTTCCTGGTGGCTCAGGAAGGGTTAGACCAAACTTCACTCCCAACTGGTCAAGGACGGCCCAGGGGTTTGGGAGCAAGTGACTTGATTACATCCTGTGTCTGTATCACCTGTGTGTGACCTAGAGTTTTTCTCTTTGGCTTTCTTTTGCTTTGCTTTGTTTTTTTTTTTTTCTTTTTTTTTTTAATTTTTAAAAATGTTTATTCTTAAAAAAAATTTTTTAATGTTTTATTTATTTCTGAGAGCCTGACATGGGGCTCGAACCCACGAACCGCGAGATCATGACCTAAGCGAAACTCGGACCCTTAACCGACTAAGCCACCCAGGCGCCCCAGGGGATTTTTGTTTCCCAAGAGAAACTTTCTGGAAAGCAGGGGAAGGGAGAAGAGTCGGTATCACCCTGTGTTTTCCGAGATCCTGGACAGCCTGGTTTCAAATTCCAGCTTCTCCCATTTTCTAGCTGTGTGACCTTGAGCTGGTTACTTCACGTCTCTGAGCCTTGAAACCTCCGTCTGCACCACAGGGCTGCTGACTGCGTCGCCCTCACTTGGTGGTGAAGATAGAATGAGGCTGACAGATCACGGAAACGCTACAGTTGTGGCCAAAATAAAGAAACCCAGGACCCTGAGAAGCCTCAGTCTGGACGAGCCCGGCCGGGCAGGACTCGGCCCGCCCCTCCCCCGGCCAGCATTCCCGCGGTGACGCGCGGAGGGAGGTGCGGCGCGGGGGCACACCTGGATCCCGAAGCCCCGCCCCCCGCCCCCCTACGGCTCCCGGAGGCCAGGTAGAGGCTGGGCGGGGCTTTCCGGACCCGGTTGCTGGAAGGTTCAGTTTTCTGGGTGAAGAGTCGCTCTCAGACGACGGAGCACCCTGATCTGCTCGCCGAGCAACCACGGCGTCGGCCCCCACCCCCCCCCGATTCCTGCAGCCGGAACCAGGTGAGAGATGGCGAGGTGAGGGGGGCCCCCCCCCCACCCGCAGCGCGCTGGCGAGAGCGCGCGCACCGGGCAGAGCGCTGGGACGAACTCGAATTCAGGGATCCCCTCTAGGACGCCCCCCCGCCCCGCCCCGGGGTCTCCGCAAGCAGAGGGTCCACCCCTCACAGCCCAGGAGCCCACCTCCTCTGCTCCCAGCACCCCAGCTGTCTCATCTCCCTGTCAGCTCCCCCAGCCGCCGCGCTGCTCGGCTCCCCTCACCTTCCTTCCCTGCAGATCGACTACGGGAGCCCCCACCCTCCCTCATCGCCTCCACCTTCCTCCTCCCCAACCCCAGGCCACGAGCTCGCTCCCACCTGTCACCAGTTTCCTGGCACCTACCTGTGAATCACTGTGCAGGGCATGGCCTGTAGTGCGAGAGTTTCCTGTTCGCCTCTCGGGGCTGCTCCCCCACCGCCTGCGACCTCGGGGTCGCCGGACCCACCCACGGGACCCAGGGGTCCCAGGGTCCCCGAGTCTGCTGCCGCCCCCACCTCCAGCCCCACCGTGGCCCCAGCGATCCATGGCCCCCGAGCCACCCCCCCGCTTCCTTTCCTGTCCTGGCCCCCAAGCCACACCCCCCCTTCCGTTCCAGTCCTGGGAATAAAGCTGGTGACTTGCAGGTGGTGGCCTCACATCTGTGCACCAAGTTCTTCCCCAGAGATATGCTTACTGTGCGAAATTTCCGGGGGTGGGAAGGACAGGACACACCCATAACGGCCGGAGCAGCAGGGAGGGGAGCGAACTGGGTGACCCGGGTTCGCCCCGGGGACAGCCTGGGAAGAGATGGGGACCATCTCAGCTTGGGGTGAGAGAGAGAGAGCGAGCGAGCGCTTATTATGGGCAGCCCCGTTTTTCTGACCTGCAGGCTGGGCTCCTCCTTCAAAGTTGGGGCTCCTTTCTGTTCCCCAACCCTCCTTGCCTCGATCCCCCCAAGGGATGGCCCCTAGGGGACCCGGATGAAGAAAGGGCTCTTGACCTTTCCTCTTCCCGCTCCCTCCGTGGATGGCTGAAAGGGCCTAAAGCAGGTGCGGGACTTTCCGATCCCCCTGGGATATGGCGAAGGCAGGCTTCTCCCACTTTCCAGAAGCTGGCTGTTGGCATTCCCCAGAAATTCCCCACAGATGTCAGGCGGGCTGCTGCTCTCCCAGGCTTCCGGTGCCCAGCTCCCTGGCCCAGGCCTGCCCCCTCTCTGACTAGTCTCTGAGCCTCACTTTCCTTTGCTTTTTTATTTGGGGGGGGAGCAGAGGGGGAGAGAGAATCTTAAGCTCCAGCATGGAGCATGAGGTGGGGCTCCATCCCACCACCCTGGGCTCATGACCTGAGCGGAAGTTAGAGTCCAGACGCTTAACCAGCTAAGCCACCCAGGAGCCCCTCCTTGGCTCCCAGATGGGCGTGTCCACTGACTTGCAAGACTGGCCCACGCGGTTAAGCACTCACTCCTGATTTCCTGAGCCATTGTGCTCCCACAGCCCCAGAGAGAGGTAGTTATCCCCAGATTTTGGCTGACAGCGGAGGGGTAAAGCCCTTCTTGGCCAGAGTCACAGCCAATAAGAGGCTAATTGACCGCATCCCACTGGGCTTCTCTCCAGACCAGACTCCGCTCCCAGACACCAGGTTTTCCTTCACCCTGTGAGCCTCCCTGCCCTCCTCCCCCCACCGCCTGGCTCAAGGACAGGGGTCAAGGTCTATAGGCGCTTCCCTTAGGCCCCTCAGCAGTGGGCCATGCCCCTTCCCGGGTGAGGAAGGAGGGAACCACCAAGGAATCTGAGAGACGCTGTTCTAGAACATTCTGCCTTCCTTTTCACCCAAACAAAGCTAGCCTTATTGTCTTTCTGTCTGCGGCACACAAATTCCAAGGGGACATTCAGGGCCAGGCCAGAGATGGAGAGGTCTGATCATGAAGCTGAATGGTGAAGATTCATCTCTTTACGTCTTGGGTGCTGGGAAATGGAGACCAAAAAAAGAAGAAAAGAAAAGAAAAAAAAAAAAAGAAACGAGAAATGAGGAACTCAAGGCAGGGAGGTGTCGGCAGAGACTTGCTGAGCGGAGGGAAAGCAACAGATCCAGACAGACTGGGCTTGGACAGGTGGAGCCCCACATTCCTTCTTCGCGCCTTTCCCGCGTGTCCAGCCCCGTTTCCGAGGGCTGCGGGGGACAGAGAGGGAATAAGGCCAACATTGCCCCTTCCTTCATGGACCTGCGTCTGAGATCAAGAGACTGGGACTGAATTATCCCAAGTGACTCACCTGGAGACACAGAACTGGGACAGAACAGAGGCCAGAGCCGGGCAGAGCTCGGATCTATTTCCGCCTGCCTTCTTTCTCTCTCTCTGTCTCTCCCTCTCTCTGTCTCTCCTGTGATTTGTCTCTTCCTGCCTCTGTTTCTTTCTCCCTGCCTCCATCTTTCTCTCCGTGTCTCCATCTCTCTTTGTCTGTCTGTCCTGTGCTCTCTCTGGCTGTGTCCCTGTCTTTCTCTCCATTTCTTTTTATGTCCCTCTTTCTCTTTTCCTGTCTCTTTCTACATCTGTCTCTTCTCTCCTTCCTTCCTCCCTCCCTCCTCCTTCTTTCCTTCTCTCTTTCCTCCCTCCCTCCATTCTGCTGCCTCCCCACAAGCACTTCCCTGGGCCTCCATTGTTTCTACGTCCTGTGCTTGGCAAATTCACAACCAGACAGAGAAGCCAAGTCTACTCTTTGCCCTTCAAATGCTCACAAGCTAGCTGGAGAAGGGAAGAGAGAAGCACCCAGAAGTGGGAAGAAAGCACAGGCCACTCTCCCTCCTCCTACCTTGGGCGTCCCCTCTCTCCCCAGCTTCCTCCTGCTTCCCAGTCTCCAGAGAGTTCCTTCTACCCGGAGTCAGGGCAGGGGAGTCAGGGCTGGGGTTCGAGGAATCTGGCTGGATGTGGACAGGGATGTAAGCACCTGTGGCCTTGAGAAAACAGGAGCCGAGAAGCCATGGGGGGCGGTCATGCGTTCCGTGCCTCCCTCCGTAGCCTCGTAATTTTTTCTTCTCGGGGTCCAGTCCGCTGTGCGCATGGATTTCTCTGGTCCATCTTAGATACGGCTCAATATGGCTGCGCTTGGGCTTTAACAGGCCCTTGAGCTGCGGAGCCCACTACCAACCAGCCACCCTCCCTGTGCTTCTACCCTCAAATTCCCAAGGGTGAAGACAGATGCGTCTCTGTCTCTTGAGCCTACACCCACGTCCACACAAGGCCAGCCTGGACCAAAGTCATATGATGCCCTACCAGTTGCGTTTTACTTTTTTGTTTTTTAATTTTTTAAAAATTTTATTTATTTCGGAGAGAGAGAGAAAGAGAGAGAGAGCATGAGCAGGGGAGGGGCAGAGAGAGAGGGAGACAGAATCTGAAGCCGGTTCCAGGCTCCGAGCTGTCAGCACAGAGCCCGACGCGGGGCTTGAACCCACCAACCGTGAGATCATGACCTGAGTCGAAGTCGGACGCTCAACCGACTGAGCCACCCAGGCGCCCCCTTTTTTTTTTTTTTTTTTAATAAAGACATCAGTGCTATTGGATTAGAGTCCACCTCAGGATGACCTCACTTTAACTTGGTCACTTCTGTAAAGACCTGGTCTCCAAATGAGGTCATATTGTGCAGTATCAGGAGTTAGGATTTCAATATGCCTTTTGTAGACAGACAACCCAACACATAACACACAAGGTCTATGGGTTGAGTGGGCAAAAGTGTACTACCTTCCCGCAGTCTACCCCTGGATTGCCATCACACATACGCTTTATCTCATACTCTCAATTCCATTTAAAAACAAAGAAAAATCAGGGGCACCTGGGTGGATCAGTCGGTTAAGCATCAGACTCTTGATTTCTGTCAGGTCATGATCTCATGGGTTCAAGCCCCGCATCAGGCACTGCACTCACAGCATGGAGCCTGCTTGGGATTCTCTCTCAAGCTCTCTCTCTGCCCCTCTCCTGCTCACTCTCTATCTCTGTGTCTCTTAAATAAATAAATATTTTAAAAAAAAACAAATTTAAAAAAACATTAAGCATGGCAAGTAGAATCGCACACACTCACCCACTCCTCGGAGGGACAGCCCCCAAAGTCACCTCAATCCACCATATCTACTTCTTTTTTTTTTTAATGTATTTATTTCTGAGAGAGAGAGAGAGAGAGACAGCATGAGCAGGGGAGGGTCAGAGAGAGAGGGAGACACAGAATCCGAAGCAGGCTCCAGGCTCTGAGCTAGTTGTCAGCACAGAGCCCGACGCGGGGCTCGAACCCACGAACTGTGAGATCTTGACCTGAGCTGAAGTCGGAAGCTCAACCAACTGAGCCACCCAGGCGCCCCCCACCATATTAACTTCTGATGGTATGGGGTCACCCTAGTGCATCCAGGAATTCACAACCTCTGGATGAAATTCATTCATCTTGTAGGTCTGTTCCCATTTCAGCCCCATAGAGCAGGGCTCTTTGCTTTGTGTGTGATCATTTTTAAAAAAAACCTCTTTAAATAAGTTTATTTCTTTATGTTGAGAGAGACAGACACAGCACGAGTAGGAGAGGGGCAGAGAGAGAGAGAGAATCCCAAGGAGGCGCCACACTGCCAGTGCAGAGCCTAAAGCAGGGTTCGAGCTCACGAAACTGTGAGATCATGACCTGAGCTGAAATCAAGAGTCGGATGCTTGACCGACTGAGCCCCCCAGTCGACCCCTGTATGTGATAAGACCAAAGGGTACTGTTTTACTTCTCAGAAAGGTCAAGGTGCCTCCTCAGAATCACACAGCTAATGAGTGTGGGAGCCTGCAGTCCACAGCCTGTGATCAGGGCGTGCCCACTGAGTCATGTGTCCTCTCTGCATATTCCTTGTTGGGCTTAGGGAACAGAGGCTTTACTTTCAGTGGTGATGAGGAAGGGGCCTGATCTGGATCTTTTGACCAGGAATACTGAGCATCCGAGGAGCTGTGAAATGAACCTTATTCAGTAGACCCAGGTTCCCTGGCCCCTTGCGTTTCAAGCCGAAGGGGGCTAGAGGGGATTGTACCATCCAGGAGTCCATTTCTGGATAGGCTCAATGCCTGGTGATGACCCAAGGGACCCAGACAGACCCCCTGCCTGATTTGGTTCAACGCAAATCCGGGCATCTAGTTGACAAGCCTGAGTTGCTTCTAGAAAGATAATGCAGGTAGTCTTGGTGGGCTATGAGAGTAGCAGTGACTTAGAAACAGGGATATTGCTAAGTTAGGTCCTGTGCCAACTTTTATCAGCTGTAATTAACCATAAAGGACCTTATTTGCATAGCTTTTGGAAGCTTCCCGGTTTCAGCCAGGTCACACCCTGCTTGATTTCTCCCCAGTATTCTCTTCTGAATGGCCACTTGATTCAGTACTTTGGCCGAGGAACACAAACAGTGGACCGAATCAACCAGAAACCTTTCATCTTTAATCTACCTCCGTGCAGAGCCTCTATGATATGCTTTGATGAAAGCCTGCTCGTGAGAAAGAGTTTTTAAAAAGCTGGGCGGGAACCTCACATTCCCAGGGAAGGAAGGGGGATGTCTTGTGGGAGAGCTGGGGGAGCAGAAAGGGCTTCCTACCTTTGACTCCTCCCGGATCTCCCCATTTGCATGATTTCAAGTCCAAAGCTGATCAGCGGCCAAACCTGGACTTTTGCTGTGGCAACGCGCTGCAAGTGTGGCTCCAGCCTAGACTGCAGAATGACAAAGCCCATCAGTCACTTCTAGGGACAATCTTCAGCCATAACAAAGTGTTGACTGTGACCATCCTGAGCAGTGTTTGTTCTGCTTTTCCTTCCTGGCCTCCAGCCATAATGGGAAGTCAGAACCGGTTCACTCCTTGCTTTTCCTTTACTTTCAGCTGTTTTACTCACACTCAATAACCATATCTCCAAACCCCTATCCTGTTTGGACCTTGATTTTGTTCTAGGGGGTCCCAGGCAAGAGCCTGATTGACCACATCTCTTTACAAACCACCAGTCCAAGTTTTACGTCCTGGGATGTGGATTTCTCAGTCCCCCCCGCCCCCCACTGTGGTACTACAGTAAATCTCGGGAAGTTGGTCCACTGCAACCACCCCACTCCTGGAATGACTTTCTGTTGCAACCAGAATTGAAAAGAACAGGTCATATGGTTGTTCAAATACAAGGGGATCTTCTGGGTTTTCTCAGTCAGTTCTCTTTATGTCTCTGCACATCTCTTCAGGTGTCTTCTGGTTACTGGCTGCCTCTGCTTCAGCCTGCATCTGACACGTTGGCCACTCCAACCCCCACTCTCTCTCAGCATCACCAGCTGCGGTCTCATACAATGATAATTGGTCTTTGTGCCTCGTTCCTGGCACATGGCTCCTTCAATCCTTGTCATTTCCTGGGGGGACAGGGTGATAGTGCTCTGTTGAGGTGACTCTTCACAGGCCCCTAGATAGCTTCAGGATCTGGTCACCAGAAAGACCAAGCCTCGATGAAGAGATTGGAACGTTCATCTGCAGCCCCCAATATCTGGAGAGGTGAGAAGGATCAAAGACATAGTCAGTCACCAATGACCAATGATTGATCAGTCATGCCTCCATCATGAAACCTCCATAAAACCTTTAAGCAGGGGGTTTCAGAGAGGCTCTGAGTTGGGAGTCACACCCAAGAGTCAGGAAGGTGGCCCACCTCAACTCCATGGGGACACCGGAAGGCCCTTCTGGATCTTACCCTAGGTACCTCTTCTCTAGTTATGCGTTTGTCTGCTTTCTAATAAGATGAGTTCTGAGTTCTGTGAGCCATTTTAGCAAGTTATCAAACCTGAGGAGGAAGTCACGGGAGCCCCCAGTTTATAACTGACCAGTCAGAAGTACGAATGGCTCAGGACTTGCCAAGGTATATGAAGTGGGACTAAACTCTTAAACTCGTTGGATCTGATACCAAGTCCAGGTAGACAATGTCAAAATTACATTGAATTGTTGAACACCCAGTTGGTGTGAGGGCAGAAAAAATGCACACTTGCCTGCCAACTGTCTTCTGACCTTTAGGTAAAAATATTCAAGAGAGAGAATTGTCCAATTTATCTTTTTTTTTTTTAAGTTTACTTATTTATTTTGGGGTGGGGGGAGAAGAGCGTATGAGCACGGGGTGGGGGGCAGAGAAAAATCCCAAGCAGGCTCCACACTGTCAGCCCAGAGCTGGACGGCGGGGCTTAAACTCACAAACCATGAGATCAAGAGTCAGATGCTTAACCCAGTGAGCCAGCCAGGGGCCTCTGGCCAATGTACTTTTCAGAGCCAGCCTTACAAGTTATAATTTTGCCAATAAATGGCAAAAGACACCATGGAGCTGGGTGTTTACCTTATGTTCAGTTGGCCGTGGCCAGGAGGGTAGACAGGTCAGGTGGTTGAGCAACTTCCCTTCAGAGGGAATAGAGGATAGGCAGGAAATGCAAAAATGGATTTCTCTAGAAACTGGATCCCCGGTAAATAGTAGGTTTATACACTAGTCCTGCCCATAGACATCCATGTAAGTATATTCACAGTCTATAAACACATTCAAACATACAATGTGTATTTACATTCTTATATGTATGTATGTATATATATATGCACACTGTATAGTACACGCCCATATGTGTACACAATATATACACATTCCCACAACACATTGTACACCTATCCAATGTATGCACACAAATTCACACACATCCATATATGTATGCAATGTATAGCTACCCATATGCACACGCGCGCACACCATAGACACTGCGCACGTGCCACGTGTGAATACACACTCCTGTCGACATGTGTCAACAGGAACATATGACCCAGTGTAAACACACTCCAGAGAGCTGAACATTTGCGCTCATTTACACACACTCAGAGTGAACCTCCCTGCAGGCACACACACGCACGTCTGCACACACACCCGCACTTCTACATGCATGCAGCACTCCGGGGCCATCATCCCCTGGGCTAACGTTGCTGGCTCTCCCTTCCCTGACAGCCATGCTCAGCGGCCAGGTGCCTTCCTTCTTCTCCATGGCCCACATCCTCCTCTTTGTCTTCACGGCTTCTACCATATTTCACCTTCAGCAGCGGCTAGCGAAGATCCGCCCCACCTGGGAGTTTGAGACACTGGTTTTGGAGTCTACGGAGAACAAGAAGAGCACCCAGCCCAGGGGCATGTTCACCATCAACTCCCAAGGGCGCCTGGGGAACCAGATGGGCGAGTATGCCACCCTGTACGCCCTGGCCAAGATGAACGGGCGGCCGGCCTTCATCCCGGCCGAGATGCACGGCGCGCTCGCCCCCATCTTCAGGATCACCCTCCCCGTGCTGCACCACACCACGGCCAGCAAGATCCCCTGGAGGAACTACCCCCTGAACGACTGGATGGAGGAGCGGTACCGCCACATCCCTGGCGAATACGTGCGCCTCACCGGCTACCCCTGCTCCTGGACCTTCTACCACCACCTCCGCGCCGAGATCTTGCAGGAGTTCACCCTGCACGACCATGTGCGGGAGGAGGCCCAGGCGTTCCTGCAGCGGCTGCAGGTGAACGGGCGACAGCCGAGCACCTTCGTGGGCGTCCACGTGCGCCGGGGGGACTATGTGCAGGTGATGCCCCGGGTGTGGAAGGGTGTGGTGGCTGACCGGCGGTACCTGGATCAGGCCCTGGACTGGTTCCGGACCCGCTACCATTCCCCGGTCTTCGTCGTCACCAGCAACGGCATGGCCTGGTGCCGCGAGAACATCAACGCCTCACGTGGAGATGTGGTGTTCGCTGGGGACGGCATTGAGAACTCGCCGGCCAAGGACTTCGCGCTGCTCATACAGTGCAACCACACCATCATGACCATTGGGACATTCGGGATCTGGGCCGCTTACCTCGCAGGGGGAGAGACCATCTACCTGGCCAATTACACCCTACCAGACTCCCCCTTCCTCAAACTCTTTAAGCCAGAGGCAGCCTTCCTGCCCGAGTGGATTGGCATCGCGGCGGACCTGTCCCCGCTACTCAATCACTGACGTTAGCTGGCCTTTGGCACCTCCTCCTTTGCAGGCTCCCCTAAGACCAGCTCCCAGAGGCCCAGGGCGCGTATTGTTCTGTGTGCCAGGACACTGCCCTCTTGCACCAGAACACTCCAGAGGCCGAAAGAAACAGAAGTCGCAACTGACTTGTTGAAATCGCATATTTATGTGTCTCACAGAAGACCAGAAGTGGCACATCTCTGGCGTTCATTAAGTCAGCAGCTCAGCCATGTCACCAGAGACCCCAGTTCCGTCTCTCTTGTTCAACTGCCATCACCTCCTCTCAGACTTCCTCCCTCATGGTCCCAAGAGGGCTGCCACGTAGCTGGGTGTCACATGCAGACAACCTCTTCCCAAGGCAGCAAAAGAGAAGTTCGTTCTTCGGTCCGTTTTGAAGAGTGAGGGGAACATTCCAAAGTCCTCCTGTAGCTGCCCCTCCCCCCCCATAGCTCACTGACCAGAAGTGTGTCACATGCCTGCCAGACGCATTACAAGGCAAGGTGAATAAGACCCTGGGATTGTCTTGGCATCAGATCAATAAATCTTTGCCCGCTTTAGCTGGGGTGTTCGTCAGCCTCCTCTGAAAGTAGTGGCTTGTGGAAAGAAAACTGGGGTGCTCTTACTGAGGAGGAAGGGAGCATTGTGTGCACAGGACAGGGAAGACTTGAATCGTGCAGGCTGCTCACTACACAAAGGCATCTGGCCAAGGAGGCAAGTGGGGCTCAAATAGAGTTGACACCCTCCCCTCCAAGCCATGTGTTCACCCCGAGGGCTCACGTTTTTTGCTAGTTTGCCCAAAAGGGGACACCTCTTCCCCAGTTTTCACAAGAGCGTCGCCCTGTTGGCCAGTAGCGTGTGTGTGTGTGTCGGAAGACTCCGCTTCTGCAACCCTGGCTTCTGAGGGCCTAGAACGATTACTTTTGAGAACTCAGAGCACAGCATGGCTCAGTGAAATTGAAGAGGGTCCATTTGTTCTTCCGGTAACGTTTGTGGTGGTGGACCTAGCTAGGATCCCTGCTAGCAAAGGCTGGGTTAACAAAACCTAGCAGCTGACAATGACGGCAACCGATTGTTTCCCACAATCCTGTGGGGCAGCTGGGTGGCTCTCTGCTCCCTGCAGCGTGGGCTGAGGTCTCTCGTGCAGCTTATTTGAGGAGCTCAAGCGGAGCATCTTTACCTGCATGGGGTTGGTGGCCGGTCCCGTAGTACAGCTTGGACTTCTGCCTCGAACACTCCCTCATCAGCCCATCTCCATGCTCAAGCCACCATGCTGTGAGGAAGACCAACCTCACTCAGAGGACACGAGCAGGTGCTACAGTGAGCAGTCTTAGCCGAGGTCAGCTTCAAGTCCTTTCGGCGTAGGCATCAGATAGGATTCCACGTGTTGTGCAGATGATCCCCCCGTGTTCCAGTCAGCCTGGCATCTAGCTGAGGTTCCTACCGACGTGTTGCAGACATAAGCCATATCTCCATTTCCGATTCACAGATTCTGGGAGCATAACAATGGTTGTTTCATGCTGTGAAGTCTTGGGGTAGTCTGTTATACAGCCATAGGAAACTTGAACAAACTAAATCAATTATTCTCTATATTTGCAGACACTTTCATGACTTTGGCATGATCTAGGCAAAACATGAACTTCCCCACCCGACTTGAGAACCCATATGCAAAGGCCCTGTGGCAGGAGGAGTCTAGTTATACATGAGAGTAGAATGATACCAATGTGATGGGAACACACGGAGACAGATGTGGGTAGAGACATTAACAGGGTCAGACATGCGAGGCCTTGTGGACCATGGCAAGGACTTTGAGTTTTAATCTAAGACCAATGGGAAGCCACCAGAGGGTTGTGATTAGGGGAATAACAGTCTGATTTGCTGTGTGGACTTCTCTGGCTGCTATGTGGAGGGAGGGCTGTAGGGGTAAGAGTAGCGGCAGAGACCACAGCTGTTGAAACATTCCTAGCAAAAAGTGGTGGGGGGCCAAAGAGGTAATGGTGGAAACAGAGGGTCTCATTTCAGTGGCTCAACAGAGACTCCTCGCATCCCTCTACCACAATTTTACAGTCCTGAAAGACACAGTCTGATGCCTCGAACAGATTGATGTTTGAGTTCAGCTTTCATGGTGGGCCAGTTGCAGAGAGGTCACATGATACAAACATGGCCACCATATTGGTAAAGGAGTTGGTCTGAAAAGAAAGTAATAAAAAGGGGCGCCTGGGTGGCTCAGTTGGTTGAGCGTCTGACTCTTGATTTTGGCTCAGGTCATGATCCCAGTGTCATGGGATTGAGCCCCCACATTGAGCTTTGCCTTGAGCATGGAGCCTGCTTAGGATTCTCTCTCTCTCTCTCTCTCTCTCTCTCTCTCTCTCTCTCTGCCCCTCCCCTGTGTGTGCATCACACACACTCTCTCTCTGGGGCAAAAAAAAAAAAAAAAATACCCATATATATAATACTCCAAAAATCATTACACAGGGAAAAAGGTTTACCACTCATATTTCAGTGGCTGAAGCAAGTCAAGTGGTCACACTTAATTTCAAGAACAATCCATCCACGTACCCCAGAATATTTGTGCTCTAGTAACTACCTCACATCTTGCAGGCCTTCAAGGTCTCTCTAGGGTGATCTCCTGGAGCCCCTTTCTTTTGCCTTGCAAAAGACACATGCAGTGGGGTGCCACATACTTAGTATGCCTGCCTCAGTAACTCTATTTAACTCATTCAAATTCCCATTCTGATTTTTAAAAATTTATTTTATTTTAAGTAGTCTCCACACCCAGCATGGGGCTTGAACTCAGGACCCTGAGATCAAGAGTTGTCTGCTCTACCAAACGAGCCAGCCAAGTGCCCCCAGTCTGATCTTACACAGCTTGAATGGGTGATGGTTTGGAGATGAGGTTTTGCTTTATGTTTCATTTTTATTTTTTATAATATTAAGAAAAAAATTTCTAATGTTTATTTTTGAGAAAGAGAGACAGAATGCAAGTGGAGGAGGGGCAGAGAGAGGGAGACACAGAATCTGAAACTGGCTCTAGGCTCTGACCTGTCAGTACAGAGCCTGACGTGCTCTAACTCACGAAGTGCGAGATCATGACCTGAGCCAAAGACAGGTGCTTAACTGACTGAGCCACCCAGGCGCCCTTGATTTTACTTTTCTAAAAGTAATCTCTACACCCAATATGGGACTCAAACTCACAACCCCCAGATCAAGAGTCATGTGCTCTACAAGCCGAGACCGCCAGGTATCCTGGTTCTTAATAACACACACACACACACACACACACACACACACACACACACAACGTAAACTAATAAACTGGACAAACTAATAAACAGAAAAACTAATAAATCGTACTTCTTAGAGAGCCCACACTGATTCCTAGTTCTTAAGTGCAGGCTCATAAGATAACCTGATGGATAATCTGGTATAGAATTTTTGGGGGGGTGTCCAGGAACCAGCAGTCTAATCTGCCTCCTATTCTGTATCTTGCCCCTCTATGACATACCATCTTCATTCGCCAGGTTTTTTAAAAAGTTTACATTTATTTATTTTCAAGAGACAGAGACAGAGCACAAGCGGGGGAGGGGCAGAGGGAAAGCTGGAGACACAGAATCTGAAACAGGCTCCAGGCTCTGAGCTGTCAGCACGGAGCCCAATGCGGGGCTCGAACTCACAAACCGCGAGACCATGACCTGAGCCGAAGTTGGATGTCTAACCGACTGAGCCCCCCAGATTTTTATAAGTGAAATCAGAGGCACCTGGGGGGCGCAGTCGTTTAAGCAAATGACTCTTGATTTCAGCTCAGGTCCTGATATCACAATTCGTGAGTTCCAGCTCCACGTCAGGCTCTGCACTATCAGTGTGGAGCCTGCTTGAGATTCTCTTCCTCTCTCTTGTACCCGCTCTCTCTCTCAAAATAAGTAAATAAACTTAAAAAAAAACAAAGTGAAATCATAGAGCTGATGATACATGATCTATTCTGTTGCATTTTTTATTTAAAAAATTGTTCTTAATTTTGTTTTTAAGCTTATGCATTTATTTTGAGAGGGAGAGAGCAGGGGAGGGGCAGAGAGGTAGGGAGAGAGAGAGAATCCCAAGCAGGCTCCATGCTGGCAGCACAGAGCCCGATGTAGGGTTCAATCTCACAAACTGTGAGATCATGCCCTGAACTGAAATCAAGAGTTGGACGCTTAACTGACTGAACCACCCAGGCGCCCCTGAACTTCACAGTTTAATCAGGTGACCTGCATGGTGTGTGAATTTCATCTCACTAAAGCTGTTAAAAAGGGAGCATCCACTTAAATGCCCAGTGTGATTTTTGGTACTTACATAGCTGTGTAACCAATACCACCTTCAAAATGTAGAAGAGATTCTTGGTGCTCCTTTGCAACTAATCCCCCAACGCCTAGCCCCAGGTAGCCATTGGGCAGCTTTCTGCTACTTTGGTTTTGCCTTTTCTAGAACTTTCCATAAAGAATCCATCTGGGATGCTGTGGGGCGCAGAGAGGGAAAATAATGCAGAACGGAAGTCAGCAACCGGAAGTGGCAGCCTGGATATGCGGTAACACAGAGTGGGGCGGGAGACAAAGATGGGAGGGTGTGAGGAAGATAAAAACAAACAAAATGTATTCTTCTTCAGTCTACTCAGTATATCCTTCTGGAGAGCATGTCTATAAGAGAAATTGATAATTTTAGGGGCGCCTGGGTGGCTCAGTCAATTAAGCATCCAACTTCGGCTCAGGTCATGATCTCAATGCTCATGAGTTCGAGCCCCGCATTGGGCTCTGCGGTAAGGGTGCAGAGCCTGTTTTGGATCCTCTCTCTCTTTCTCTCTCAAAAATAAATAAAGAGGGCCACCTGGGTGGCTCAGTCGGTTAAGCGTCCGACTTTGGCTTAGGCCATGATCTCACGGTTGGTGGGTTGGAACCCCGTGTTGGGCTCTGTGCTGACAGCTCAGAGCCTGGAGCCTGCTTTGGATTCTGTCCCCCCATGGTCTCTCTGCCCCTCCCCTGTTCATGCTCTGTCTCTCTCTGTTTCCCAATAATAAATAAACGTTAAAAACTTATTTAAACAAACAAACATTCTGGGGGTGTCTAGATGACTCAGTTGGTTAAGCGCCCATTTTCGGCTCAGGTCATGATCTCACAGTTAATGGGTTTGAGCCCCGCGTCGGGCTCTCTGCTGTCATTGAAGAGCCCACTTCAGATCCTGTCTCCTTTTCTTTGCCCCTTCCTCCCCTGCTCACGTGCACACGCTCTCTCTCTCTCAAAATTAAATAAACAGTAAAAAAATTTTTTTTAGGCTAAATTGGTAATTTTGGTAATTTGTCGAATAGATCCTTGGTCTTTCTCCTGTGTCTACTGAGATGGTATGGGACAGTAACGTGGTGCAGGGTCTCCCCTGGGACAGCTCAGGCTTCCCATCTTCCTGTGCCCCACTTTGGTCCAGCCCGTGGGGGTGCCCCAGCTCTCTGGCTGGGGGCAGGAGACAGCAACTGAAACGTCTGGAGAAGGGCTGAGTGACAGGTGGTGGGGACCGTAGGGCCCAAGCCTTTCTCTCCGGCTCTGGGTTCAAACAGGCACACTCCATCCAAGCCTGTGCTGTCTTTCAAATACCCCTATCAGAGAATTCCTCAGCCGCCCCTAGCTGCCTCCCTCTGCAGCTGCCCTCGTGTCACAGACACAGAGAGTATCAAGCTCAGAGTCAGGCAGCGATGAAGACAGACTGATATGCAGATGGACTGATAGGGACATAGACAGAGACAGACAGAAGAAGCTCCACCACACCCCTTCTCGATCTTTCCAGGGCTGAAGGCACACCTTTCCCACCAGTTTTCGGCCTGACACAAAGGCTCCTGCAGCCCCCAGCTGCCACCCACCTTTTGTTCCAGAAGCTTCGACCTCCCAAGGTTCCCAACAGACACACACACACACACACACACACACACACCATGGCCACCCCCTTCACGCCTTCACACATTTTCCCTCGACAAGGATGCAGTCCTCCAGACTGATCCTCTGACCACCCTACCCATTCCCCACGGCTTCTGGTACTTTCTAGGAGTCACGGCCCCTCTGCCATGAAAATACCCATCACCGTGCACTGAAACTCTTGTCTTTGCAAATGTCTGAGCTTCACCAGAGCAGGGACTGAGGCTCTTTTTTCTTTCAACTCGGGCACAGGCTATGGGCTCATGAATCAGATTTAAAGCCCCCTCGCTGACACCTCCCGTCTGTGGGACACGGGGCACAGCACACCCCTTCTCTGGTCTTCCGTGATCTCATCTGCAAAGTGGGAATGACAAGTCCTGATTGTTCAGAAGCCACCAAAGATCACCTTTGCGTCGTGGTAAGGAGCTCGGTTCCCTTGCCTGTTCGATCGTGAATCCACCAGGCTTAACAACACTGATGAACTAGAATTGTTGATCAGCAGCTAATAACGGTGATGGATATTTATCAGCACGTCTCCCACGCCAGGTCCAGCTCGTGAGAAGTCTCAGTGCACATCTCATCCACATTGGGCTGGAGCGACACATGTGCAAAGACAAGGGGAAGTCACCAGCTCTGGGTCCTGTCACACGTAACTGATCTCAGGGTCCTTTTCCACCTGCAGCTGACACTGCCCTCAGGTCCCCTCAGACAGATGCCTCTTGCCAGTCCTGTGCACCCAGCTCCCCCCCCCCAGCTTCTGCATGTTTTATGCATTAATTGTCTTTTTATTTCCTGTATTTCTGGTCCTCTGACATCTAGGGCTTTGAGGACACTGAAGGTCTGCCCTTCCCAGGGCTAGCCAATTCCTGGTGAGTAAAAGACTCACCCAGGAGTACGCTTTTCATATGCAAACTAACCAACCCAGAGCCCAGACCCCCAACCACTTCCTTTATGAGCTCCTATACTCCAGACCACTATTCCTCTGCCTAATTCACCCCAGATCAGGTTCCAGACAACTAGGGGGTCCCGACACCCCAGAGCCAGCTGAAATTCATCCAAACTAGACAACCCTAAGCCTGCTTACCCTGCCTCTCCTGTTCCTTCCCTGGGAAACCACAATAAAGACTTTTGCCCAGGGTTCCCCGATCTGCCTCCGGACTGACCCTGGCACTTGCCCACGTGACCTAGTGTGGCTTGGCACACCCCCTTCTCTGGGGATCTGTGAGGTTAACAAAGGATCTTTTCAATGAGAATACCAAAGGATCAGATCATCCGGATCTGTCCAGCTTCACCACACCTGAAAAATAAGAAAACCTACATTTTAAAAGACTCTGCTTAAATAAAAACATTTAAAAAAATGTAAGGGACGCCTGGGTGGCTCAGTCATTGGGCATCGGATTTCGGCTGAGGTCATGATCTCATGGTTCGTGGGTTTGAGCCATACTGTCAATCTGCATGCTGACAGCTCAGAGCCTGGAGCCTGCTTTGAATTCTGTGTCTTCCTCATTCTCTGCCCTCCCCTGCTCCTACTCTGTCTCTCTCAAAAATAAATTTAAAAAAAAATTTTTAATTAAAAATAAATAAATAAGGGGCGCCTGGCCGGCCTAGTCAGTTAAGCGTCCGACTTCGGCTCAGGTCATGATCTCACGGTTTGTGGGTTCGAGCCCCGTGTTGGGCTCTGTGCTGACAGCTGGCTCAGAGCCTGGAGCCTGTTTCAGGTTCTGTGTCTCCCTCTCTCTCTGACCCTCCCTTGCTCACGCTGTCTCTCTCTCTCTCAGAAATAAATAAAACATTTAAATAAATAAATAAATAAAAGGCTTTGCTGCTAATGGCTTCCTTCGTGACCTTCTCAGGACGGCTCTTGGGTTCAAGCTGTCTGGCAGTTTATGTCCCGCCCTCTTCTCATGGCCCATGACCAACTAGAGGGGTATAGTGGCACATTTCCCAGTATGACCCAGCTGTCCATGCATCGAAGAGTCATACGTTTGTGTAGTTGCCTCCCATATTCAGTTAGGCCAGCGTGACTTGCATTAACCAATCAGATGTGGTGAACGGGACATGGGGCCAGTTCCAAACTTAGTCCTTATGAGACCGGCAGCTTCTCGCTTCCTCCCCTAGTAACAACCGCTTTGGGGGGCCCCTGAGCTCCTGGGTTGGGAGTCCAGATACCTCGCTGGAGAGACCACAAGGAGAGGGGGAGCACTGAGGCCACACAGAGAGGGGCAGAAGTCCAGATGCCCTGCGGCCCAGCTGGGTCCAGCCCACCAGCCATTCCTGACAAGGTGCCGGACATGTCTGAGCCATCCTGGATGTTCTAGCCCAGCAGGCCACCAAGGTGACTGCAGCCCTGGGGCGCCTGCGTGGCTCAGTTGGTTGAGCTTCCGACTCTCTCTCGATTTCGGCTCAGGTCATGATTTGATGGTTGTAAGATCGAGCCCTCCATTGGGCTTCATGGTGAGTGTGGAGTCTGCTTAGGATTCTCTCTCTCTTGGGACACCTGGGTGGCTGGGTTGGTTAAGCATCCAACTTTGGCTCAGGTCGCGATCTCAAGGTTTGTGGGTTCGAGCACCGCGTCGGGCCCTGGGCTGGCAGCGAGGAGCCTACTTGGGATCCTCTGTCTCCTTCTCTCTCTCTCTCTGCCCCTCACTGACTCGCACATGCATTCTCTCTCTCTCAAAAATAAATAAACATTAAAAAAAAAACCTCTCTCTCTCTCCCCCTCAGCAACTCTCCCCTACTCCCACTCTCTCTTAAAAAAAAAAAAAAAAAAGAAGACGACTTGCTGAGCCACTCGATGGGACTGTGAGTGATCATAGTTATTATTTGAAGACTCTAACTTTGGGGATGGTTTGTTATTCAGTAGGAATGAATGAATGAATGAATGAATGAATGAATGAATGAATAAATATAGGGATCTCCCTCTGCTTCAAAAGCCTAGCTCCCTTTGCCTCAGGGTAGGACAAACTGAGACTTAAATTATCCTCCAGAGCTCCCCACGGGACCCAGTTGAGGTTGGGACTTCACCTGAAGTCACACTCTTGCTAATCTTCCCCTTCACTGTCTAGTGTCCTGTACTCCCTTCTGGTTTCTCCTCAGAGCATTTATCTCATGAATCAGGGGCACATGACTCTTGTCCCGGGCTCTTCTTCCAAGGGAATCTGCCCTCAGACATGACATGTGGATATTCTCACTTCCCACTAGAAGCCACGGGTCTGGCTCCCCATTCTCCCTCCCGACTCTGCCCTGCCCCTCTCCTGCATCCCCCTAAGCACAGACCAGACCACCTTCCAGACTCTCCAGCCCCAGGGAACCATCTAGTCGGTGGCACAGAGGGTGGGTGGGGAAGAAGGTGGGAACAAAGACATCATGAAGTCTCTGAAGGCAGCAGCAAGTAGCTTGTTTGGCCTGACCAGCAGCAAATGACACCATCCACATAGCCGTGGAGGGGATCATACGGAGGTCAGGCAGGTAAGAGTCTGGCTGATGGCATGTCAGCGGTCTTCGGGGGTCAGGTGGGGAGGACAGTGTTCTCTGATTCTGTCTGTGGTGGGACGGGCTCTGCTGGTTGTCCCCGCCCTTCCTTGGGAGTCTGCCTCTGTGACCTTCCCGTCCCCACAAGTTCCCCCTCCCCGGAAACCCCAGAATCCATCACCACAGATCCTCCAGCAGGTCCCACAGCCGGGTGCCACTGGGGTCACATAAGTCAGCAGAGAAGATGCTGGGGGCTGGGGGACCACAGCCTAGCAGGGGACCCCCACTCAGAGCCTCCAGCCAGTCCAAGGAATCCGTGGGGCCCCTGGGAGAGGGCGACGGGGAGTTTGTGGGGGACGGGAACGAGGAGGAGAAGACTGATGAGAGGCCTTCAGAGTCTGGGGAGGGGGACAGCACGTCGAAGGAGCCGGGGAAGTCCAGGGGGATGGGGGGCAGCTGGTCTGCAGGAGAAGGATTGGAGTGTGAACTTAGGCAGAGATCCGGGCCCGCTCTGTTATTCCTCATTTCCAGACGTCTAAGTCCCCAGCCTCTAGGACCCAGGACTGCAGACCCCAATCCCTCCTTCCCTTGGACTAGGAGTCCAGAACCTCAGTCTCCTCTTCCCCCCACATCAAGAAGTTCGACTCTTACCATCGGGCTCCATCTGATCCTCCAGGATGTCATCAATGCCCCGGTTCGGAAGCAACTGCGAGACGGGCAGAAGCGGCGTGAGCCTGGGATCCACCCCGATCCTGATGGAGACCCCCTAACCTGCTCCCTCTCACCTGCGCCCTGCGGATGGCTTCCTGCAGCTCCTCCTCCAGACTCAGGGCCGTTGTGGATGGTGCTGAGGGAGGGGTCAGCGCCGGAGCCGGAGCGGTTGCCGGAGCGGTCGCCGGGGTTTCCGCGGCAAGCGGAGGAGGCCGAGGGTGAGACGGCCTCCCTGACTTGAGCTAGAGCCGCGTGAGAGTTCCTATGAGCGACGCCCACTGGACGCAATCCCTCCCACTCGCAAGCTGTGGCTCCACCCCCCGGCCGCATCCCGGCCCCAGGCTCGACCACCCCATTGGTTTCTCTTCCCTTAAGGTCCTCCCACTTTGCTGTGAACCACGCCCCCGCACTTCATTGGCTATTCTTTCGACTTCCCGCCCCCGTCCCGCTTCGTCTTCTCCTCACTGGCCCATTCGCGCGTGGCCCCGCCCTCACCGAGCCCGGCCGCCGGACGGCTACCAGAGTTTTGGACCGGAGGCGCGGCCAGTGAGCGCCGGTTGGACTGTCCTCGCGCCGCGGCTTCGGCCTCTCGCGGGGCAAGGCGCCGCCGCGCATGCGCTCCAGGAGCATCGACTTAGTCCCCGACACCGGGAGGCCCCGCAGGCGCAGCTGCTGCCGGAGCTCTGAGACCTGGGGTGGGGGGCAGGGAGAGGCCTTGCTGGGAGGGCTCCGGGACGCAGGCGGGAGCTGGGGCCGGATATTTGCAAAACCGCGAAAAGAGGGACGGGGTCTCCAATGGGGCAGGGACTGCAGGCTTAGATTTATGGACACCCCCCCCCTCCCCGAGGAAGAGGGCCAGCCTGGGAAGTAACCCCACGCTCACCGTCAGCTCCTCCAATTTAAGGGTCTGCAGTTCCAACTTGTGTGGAGAGGGCGAGGGGCTGGGAACTCCGGGCGGGGAGGGAGTTAGGGGGATGGGCTCCGTCCTGGTGGTAGTCGTGGGGTGGGGGGAACAGAGGTTAGGTGGGGCGGAGAGAGAAAGGGATTCCAGGGTCCTCAAAGACGGGGAGGGCGGAGCGGGGAGGGCTTGTGGAGAGGAAGGTGAGGGCCCAGAATTCTGGGTCTGCGATGGGGCTAGTTCCTGTGCATGGGGGAGTAGGGACCGGAGGCTCAGTCTCTTGGGTCTGAAGCCTGGGAGCTGACCAAAAAGGGGCTCGGAAACTGGACTCTTCAGTCCTGGAGAGGAAGGGAAGGGGCTGGGGCCTGAGCTCCCCTGCTCTTGGACTCTGGGCTTCAGGGAGGAAGATGCTGGGGGCCTGACTTTCCGCCAGAGAATGAAAACGGGATTCATACCTAGGAGGTGGCCTCTGTGAGTTTGTCCCTTCCCACCGAGGTGGTCCAGGGGGACGCAGAGCCAACATTTTGGCCTGGGTGTCGACCCTGGACCCTTGTCTCGGCCCGGGGGGCATGTACTGGTGGTATGTCAAGTTCCCCTTTGGCTTGGGCTCTCTCCAGTGTTGGGAGATCTTGGGAGACTCCTGTAAAAGCAGGTGTGATGTCACATGCTTCAGCTCTGTCCCCACTCTGCTGCCCCAGAGCCTCATGCAAAGTATGGCATCCACTCAGCACCGCCAGAAAGGAGCCAGAAGGGCGGCAGCGAAGAGGATCAATCAATGCTAGACTGTCAGGGGTACCTCCCTTCCCTCGGTGGAGACTCACCTTCAGGGACTTCCAAGGGCCATATTCTGATTCAGGGAGCAGGTCCCCAGGACCGAAGAGGAAAGGAGTGGGACCCGAGGGCGAGGCTGGGGCCAGAGCGGGGCCCGTGGCTGAGACCCATGGATCTGGATCCAAGACTGGAGAGGTGGTGAGGGACCCCGAGACGCCTGCAGATAGCAAGGCAGGGAGGAACAAGGCTGTGTGGGAAGGAGGGCCCTGGAGGCCTCAGCCCCCCCCCCCCGGGGCGTGAGAGGCCAGGTCAAGGTAGTGGAACCCCAGTGGGAGGAGCCAGCAAGGCAGAGGTTCTAGGGACCCAGGCTTTTATATTCTCAAGACAGGCAGCAATCGCGTCCTTAGTCACCAACGGGTATGGTGGCTGAGAATCCCAGCTTTCTGGGGGTTTGCTGGGACAGCGGTGGGGCCAGCACTCCTGGTTCTAAGGGAGAGAGAAAAGCCGAAAGCCACATCCTGAGATGCATTGTGTGTGGCAAGTGCGGAGTCTGGGATGCCTGTCTTCTCCAAAGAAACGGCATCTGGGTCCATGCATTGTATCGGAGTGGGAAAAGCCAAAAAGCAGGAAGCCGAGCTTTTGGGGGTGGGGTGGCCAGGGACCTGTATTCTTGGGTCCTCGTGAAAGGACAGGATCGGATTTCAGTGTATCCCTGGCATAGGGACTGAGGCTCAGGAACCAGTGCAGGAGATCTGGCAGCTGGGCTCCGGGGTGCCGCAGGGGGGTCTGGCCACCCTCCCTTCCCTTTCAGGGCCCACACTTACTTGGGTCCTGATACCGTCTGTGGATCCGAAGCTGGAGGACTGTGGAAGGAAGAGGGAGGTGTTAGGAGAAAGGCGGGAAGGGAGTGTCCAGAAGCCTGGCGCGTGCCCAGCCCCCTTACACACCCCATGCAGGCGGCTGGGCCAGCAGCCTGTTCCCTTTCCTGGGCCTCCCGCCTGCTCCCTGCTCCCAGCCAGAGCTGTTCTGTGACTAGGAGCCAGCCAGGGAGCAGGCAGGAGGCAGCCCTGCCCCCCACCCCCAGCTCCACCTGCCCCCCTTTGGGAACATGTTACCCACCCAACTCAAGGCACGATCGCCATCTTGGCAAGCCTGACCCATTTGCGCCTCACCTCCTTCGGTCCATGTGCTCCAGTCTGCACAAGCCCAGGCCCTGCTGTGTGCTCCGGGCCTCCCCACAGCCACCCCCTCTGTGCATGCCTCTCCCTGGGTTCACCTTCCCCCATTCACATGCTCGTTTCACCCTCTGCGTGCTCAGGAGCTGACACCCAGTGCCACTCATTCGCACACTTTCCTAAAACACAACCTGTGATACTTTTACCATTAGGTAGCTCACCATCCCCTCACTCACACTGCTCACTGCAAAGTCCCCACTCTGTGTACTGCCTCCACTTTGCACACCTGTCAACTTAAGCTCCTGGTCCTTTGCAGTACCCGGCTCTCTGCACACCCACCCCTAACTGCCCACCAGCTCCTCTCGGTGTTTACATGAGCGCTGTATTGGCCATTTGCACATTCATGGAGCCACCAGACCTCAAGCCCTTTGCTGGGGCCTCCTTTGCGCAAAGTGACCTTTTGTACAGAGAACACATGCCTTAGGGGTCCCATGGCCTCCTTCTCACCTGACCCACCATATACACTCCCAGAGTTAAGAGTTCTCAATCCAGGGGCCGCCTGGGTGGCTCAGTTGGTTAAGCTCAGGTCATGATTTCATGGTTCGTGAGTTTGAGCCTGTGTCTGGCTCCTTGCTGACAGCACGCCTGGAATTCTCTCTCTCTCCCTCTGCCCTCCCCCCACTTATTTTCTCTCTCAAGAATAAATAAATGAACATTAAAAAAAAAAAAAAAAAGAGTACTCAATCCCGGGGCCCAGAAGACTCCTTCCCTACATGCACAGAGAGAATCCTCTCACCAGATCTGAACTTGGAGCGAATGATTTGGGAGCGCTGGGAGGAAGCCGCGAGGGTCATTGCCAAGGCTGTGATGGTGACCTGGACCGAGGCGAGGGCAGGACCCCCCAGGAGGCAGGGTCAGAGTGGAGGTCAGGAGGCTGTCCCCACATGCAAACGTAGCAGGTAAATGACTTAGGAATAAGAGAGGACTTGAACCATAACTTCAGGATCTTGGCGGGTGGGAGGGACCCAGGGGCTGGGAGCCCAGGCTCCTGGGTCTGAGGGAGAAGGGGGTTGAGGGCCCCAGCTCCTGGAGCCTAGGGGAGGAACGAACAGACCCGGGTCTGTAAAAGGAGAGGGAGGGAAAAGGGGGTGAAGAGACAGAGCTCAGTACTCTGAAGGGACTGGAATCAACACCCTTGATCAAGAGGGAAAAGACATCTAGTAGGCTCCTGGGGAATGGAAGGGTCTCTGCCACCGGCATTCAAGAAGGGAGTGGGTGGGTGTCAGCCATATCTGTGAGGAAAGGACTGGGACCAGACAGGTGACAGAGGAGTTAAGGCGGGTTCCCCCCAGCCCCACCCCAGGGGCTTCTCACCAGGTGGGCTCCGGCCAGAAGTGCTCCGGGGCCGTTGAGTCCCCAGGTCTAGCTGGAGGCAGCAGGCTCCGCCCCACCAGCCTGGGACCGCCTAGGACACCCGTGTGTAGGGCGAGCGGACGCCTGTGAAACGGGGCGGGGTAGACAGGAGCCCCGCCCGGGACCCTGCGAAGGGGCGGGAGCACGGGCTGGGTGGGACGGGGGAGGGACGAACGTCGGGGTTCCCTGAGTCTCTCCTCCGCGTCCTGGGGCTGTGGGGCTCAGGCGAGGCAGCGACAGGCGGACTGACAGAAGCAGGTGCCTGGAGAGGGGCGCCGGGTGAGCAGCGGGAGCAGGTGGTCGCGACCCGGCCCCGCGGGCAGGTGCCACCTGTCGCTTATTTTTTCCCTGACGCAGCAGCGGGAGTCGGATTTAGGGGAGTGGAAAGTTCAAACTGGGGCTCCGGACTCCTGAATCTGAGGGAGGAGGGGGGGCTGGGGATCTGGCCTCCTGGGTCCGAGGGAGAAGGGGGTTGGGGCCTGGACTTCCGGGTGTGAGGAAGGAGGGATGCCAGGACCAAGACAAGAGGCGTTGGGACTCGGCAGTGTGACCGACAAGCAGAAAATGTCCAGACGGGGCTGGGGACCCAGACTCCCGGGTCTGAGGGAGAAGAGGGCTGGAGTATGGCCTTTGGGGTCCAAGGGAGAGATGGCTGGTTCCCACTGGCAGGACAGAGGGCCTGATTCTTGGCCGACCCGGCTTTGAGTTCTGTCCTGAAATGCGTGGGAGGCCCCAGGGCTCCTGGTTTGGATTACAAGCCCCAGGGCAAGCTGAGGCTGTGGCTATAAATACCTCTCTGGACTCGCAAGAACTCAACGCTCTCGTCGAGGAACCTGGTGCTCTAATCCGCAGAAAATCATCATCACTAGCATTCCCAAGTCTTAACAAGTCTTAAGTGAGGCGTCGCCAATACCACAGATACCTTTATTGCTCCTCGCCCGCACATCCCAAGCCCATCTTCCCGCTGTCCCAGCCTCTACTACCCGAAAACTCAAACTCCCGGCACTCCACGCGGGGCAAGAACTACAACTCCCAGAGAGCCCTGAGCTCAGGCGGGCACCCGGGAGCAGAAGCCAGAGAATTTTCAAGGTTCGCGCGCTCGTTTGTTATTGGTCCTCAAGGAGGCGTGGCCACGGGAGGTCCGTGGCGGTGATTGGCCGGCAGTTCCTGCTGCTCAAGATCCCAGAGGAGGCGGCGGAGCCTGCGCAGTTCACGGTGCAGGGCGTCGTCCGTCACAGGACCGGTGAGGCGCAGCCGTGAGCTGCCCAAAGGCAAGATGAGGGGAGGATGGGAGGAGAAGCTTTCGAAGATGTCCCCTAGGAGACAGAGGCGACGGCGTCAAGTTCTGAAAGTGGGCGTGAGGCAGCAGTTTGGGGAGAGGCTGCGTCACGCCCGAGGGAAGGACAAACTTCAACCTGCAATTCCTGGAGCAGGACGCACTCAAACACGAGTCTTGGGAGTCCCCTAAGCATCATGGGAGTTGTAGTTCAGACAAAGAAAAGCCACCGTTGCCTGGGAAACGGGCGAGGTGGTTGCGTTCTTGGGTCTGTGAGAAAGAAGGTCTGGGAACTTAGTTTTTCGGATTCCTTAGTGGATGGGCCCGAACTCCTGGGTGAGAAGGGGAGGTTGTCGAGGGAAGAGGCTGGGGGCCTGAACCCTGGGGGGGGGGGGGGAAGGAGGAGCTAGGGCTCAAAATCCCGTATTCTGGCGGAGGAGGGAGTTGGGGTTCATCACTTATTAGATCTTGAAGGAAGAAAGGATTAAGGATCCAGAATCTTGGGTCAGAAGGAGTAAAGCGCTATGGATTCCTAGGTCCTGAGGCCAGAAAAAGGCTGAGAGCTCCACTACTTCTGTCCCCATCCTTCCTCACCTGTGTCCACAGCGTCTCGCTCTGCAGGGGGAGGGTCCCAGGCAGGTGGTGGCCCACGGCCAGGGCCCAGCTGGTAGTGGCTGAGCAGATGGTGAAGCTGAGCAGGGGTGAGTGTGGGGTGGTCAGTTCGTAGGCTGCTCCAAGAAGCCTGGTGGGAAGATGAGGGGAGAAGTTGGCGGTCATTATGGGGCAGCTGCGAAATCCTGAATGGGAGGCTCTCCATAGAGGGGACCAATGTAGTGGGTAGACCACGGTGTCTGTGCAGTGTCTTCCGTGCACTGTGAAGCCGGGCTGTCACCAAAGTGATGGTGGGAAAGGGTGTGCCCTCAGCTTAAAAAAAAAAAATGTGATTTGTGGGGCGCCTGGGTGGTTCAGTTGGTTAAGCTTCGGATTTCAACTCAGGTCATGATCTCAGGTTTGTGGATTCGAGCCCCTTGTAAGGGTTTGCACTGACAGCATGGAGCCTGCTTGGGATCCTCTCTCTCCAATCCCCACTCTCTCTCTGCCCCTCTCTGACTCTCTCAAAATAAATAAATAAATAAACATTTAGTTTATATTATTGAAGTTGGTGATGTGTGCCCAGGTATTATTCATTATCACACCACGGATATATTTTTGGATCTGAAATTTTCTTAACTGAGATGACAACCGAATCATCACCGTGGTGAAAAGCAGAGACTCTGGACCCAGACTGCCTGGGTCCAAAAATCCCCGCTTGACGACTCCTTACCTTCTGACAAGTCACTGTGCCTCAGCTCCTTCATCTGTAAATTGGGGGTGGAGGGAATAGGAACTACCTAAAAGTGCTGTTATGAGGTTTCAATATGGCAAGATCGTAAAATACTTCGAACGCTGCCGGGTGCTTAATAATCAAGTGCTCTGTAAAAGTTCGATAAATATAAACCAAAGAAATCAAGGAACTTCTCCTACTTGAATCTCAGGGTCCTCATCTGTAAAGAACTGTAATCTAGGGGCACCTGGGTGGCTCAGTTGGTTAAGTGTCCGACTTCGGCTCAGGTCACGATCTCACGGTTTGTGGGTTCGAGGCCCGCGTCGGGCTCTGTGCTGACAGCTCGGAGCCTGGAGCCTGCTTCCGATTCTGTGTCTCCCTCTCTCTCTGACCCTCCCCTGTTCATGCTGTCTCTCTCAGAAACAAATAAAACATTAAAAAAAAAAAAAAGAACTGTAACCTATTTCATGAGGCTTAGTCAGCACTCAATGAGAAGTGCTAGACAGTGTCTGGTATACAGTTTATGTTCAATGACTGTTTTAACTATCGCATTCCTTGGTCTCATCCCAGACTTTCTGACTCAGCAGAACTGGGGGAGGCGACCTTGGAAACTATTAGTCCTAAGTCCCACTGGGATTCAGGTGCACTTTGAACGCCTGTGGCTGGCTTCCGTCTAACCGCCAGTGCATCACCGCCAGTGTCTGCTTCGGGACTGGGGATAACGTGAAGGCCAAGAGGATGTCAAGGGTGAGCTGAATACAGAGGATGGATGAGAGGGGTTGGGGAGTCAGAGGTCAGGAATCAGAACTCACCTTGAGCAGGGAGGTGCGGGGTACACAGAGCAGGTTCACAGCTATGGAGAGTTTCCGGAAGAATTCAGTGGCAATGTCGCCCAGCCCGGCCCCCTGCAGCCAGTCTAAGACAAGGTCCAAGTTGGTTCGGATTTGGACAGCTCGCGACCACTGATAGAAAGGCCGGCCTTGACCTGTGGGGAAGGTTATGGAGGGGAATGGGTGTGTGGACGCTGCCCTCCCGCCTCCCGGACCCTTGTGATTTTGCAGCTTGGGATCTAGAGCTTGCTCTCTAAAGATGAGGCGTGCTTCTGTGGTATGTCTGAACCGACCTGGGTCCCCATGGTTCCCGTCCCTTCCTCCCTGCCCCTTCCCCGGTCTGACCCGCACCTCGTTCCATCAGTGAGTTGAGGAGGGACGCATTGGAGAAGAAGAACAAGTAACCGAAAGTCTGAGACACAAGGTCCGGGTGCAGCTCGCACTGGCTGGTCAGTTCCAGCGCCGCCTGGAACACGCCCAGGGTGGGTCTCAACCCCGGAGGCATGGCCCCCAGCTCTGCGCCGGGCCCGGGAAGCTCTGCCCCGGCTGTAAAAGGGTTACTATCCAGGAGAGCAGGCAGCGTTGAATACAGAGTCTAAGAAGATACAGAGAGGGAAACAAGTGATTGGACTCCAACTCCCTGGAAGCTTCAGGGTGGTAGAACTTCTGGGCATTGCAGCCCATTCTGCCTCCAACACCTAAAGGCTTCTGTGAGCAGATTCCCTACCCCCCACTGTCCATGTGAGTCTCTAGCAGTTTCAAGCCTTAAGAAAACTTCTAGGAGTTACTTGGATATGTTAAGATCACCTCTGGTGCCTTATAGGACTTGCATTTCTTTCTTTTTTAAATTTTATTTTTATTTTTATTTATTTATTTATTTCTGAGAGAGAGAGAGAGAGAGAGAGGCAGCATGAGCAGGGGAGGGTCAGAGAGAGGGAGACACAGAATCTGAAGCAGGCTCCAGGCTCTGAGTTAGCTGTCAGCACAGAGCCCGACACGGGGCTCGAACCCACAAACTGTGGGATCATGACCTGAGCCGAAGTCGGACCCTTAACCGACTGAGCCACCCAGGCGCCCCATTTTTTAAACATTTATAAATGTTTATTTTTTTGAGAGAGAGAGAGAGAGAGACAGAGCTCAGGTCGGGGAACGGCAGAGAGAGAGAGGAAGGCACTGGATCTGAAATAGGCCCCAGATTCTGAGCTGTCAGCACAGAGCTTGACACGGGCCTCGAACTCACAAACCATGAGATCATGATCTGAGCTGAAGTCGGACGCTTAACTGACTGAGCCACCCAGGTGCCCAGGATTTGTATTTCTCAACACAGACAGCTCACAGAGGACTAAGGATACTGAACAAAGAGGCCCCCTTCAGTCAAAGAATTATTTATCCAGAATTCCCAAAGGAAGGAAAAAGAATAGAGAGTCAGGAAGTGGGAGCAAGGTGGCAGTGAGCCAGTGGAAAGTGAGATCGGGCCAAGGACAGGAAATGAGGTCAGAGCCAAAGAAGAAATAAAGCCACACTTGGCAGGAATGTACAGGAAGTGAAGCCTTGGAGGAAAGGGCTTCACAAATCAAGGCTGCTTAAAGAATGTAA